CACGGCGGTTGTAGTGACGTAGGACTTTATAGGCCGAAGGAAGGTCTAGATGCCTGTTGATGGAGTCGGCATCTGACGCTTTGATAAAGGGTGAGCAGCCCCAGCTCTTCGAAACGTCAGCCATACAAGTCCCTCGATCCGGTATGCATCTGATTTTCCTCATATTGTCGACCCGGATCTCTTACTTTTGCTAACCAAGTACAATTCGGCCTGTTAGAACACATGACTTGAAATTAAACTCCCGCTCACACTCACCCCTGCCCACTTTAGCGAATCTCGGCAAATACCCCGCTCAATCAGAAAGGTTCATAAGTTCAGTCTGAAACAGCATGCCAAGTAGAACGTGCGTTTCGGTCGTAAGCAATAACAAACGTAAAAACATTTGGCTGCCATGGGGCTGATCAAAGGAGTCTCGGTCTGCATTTTTTAATTCAAACTTTTGAGACAAACTTTCACTCCGACAGGAAGCTAAAGGTCATCGTAACCCTGGAACTCTCACCCTCAATGTGCCAAGCGGGCCATAAATGTAAACATTGACGGCGATCACGGGGATTGCCGTAGAGACAAGGATTTTGTCAAACGGTTGGTAAGGTGTCTCTTGGGCCATAACAATCACTTTTGTCTCCGGGTTTCCGTAAAGTAATCCAAAATATGTTAGTAAGCAAAACTACGAATTAGCCGGGCTACGAGTACAACTGTAGACGAGGTCCAGGAGGCGGGCTAACTCATGAAATATCAACCGAAATTCCAAAATGCTTTTTCTTTCTGAAAAGATTAATTAAGCAGGATTGTAAAACCTATCATCGTGCAGCATAATTCTATAATAGTTCAGTTACCTCAGGATGTCGGCTTTTGACCGAACTTCTTTCCGGCCGCATGCAAAAGTCACACTCTACAAAAAGTGGCTACTTAAGTAGCTTGCATTTTTCTCACTGATTTTCGATGGTCTTAAAAATTCAATTACATTTCATCAAAAGCATGCATAGAAGTATTCATTATTTCGCTCATTTGTTAGAAAATTACTTTTTATTCTTCCAGTTTTATGCTCGAGGGAAGGGTATAATTCGGTTTTAAAGAAGTTTCTAATTGTGAGGTTCTTTAATACCGTGAAATGACCATTCATAAAACGTCATGTCTCTGCATTTAACAATGTGGCTTGTAAAGTTGACAATATGGCTCAAATCCACTGCTAAATTTTTTGAACGCCCTATGGTCTCCTCTTAATACTGCAGAGAAATTTATTGTTTTTTGTACGCGTAAAATATATGGTCTGGTCAGCAGTTAAATAAACCTGTTCCGGAGAGCCAATTTTCTTCTTCTAATATATGGTCTGTAGTTAGGAAAACCCTAAATTCAAGTGTAGCGGCAGGCTGGGTTCAAAATTATTCGGGAATTGGAAGTTTTCGAAAACCAAATTATACACTTCCCTCGATTACGAAATCAGAAGAAGAAGATGATGAAGAAGACGACGACGACGAAGAAGAAGAAGAAGAAGAAGAAGAAGAAGAAGAAGTAATTTTCTTACAAATGAACGAAGTAATGAATACTTATATGCATGTTTTTCATGAAATATAATTGAATTCTTAAGATCATCGAAAATCAATGAGAAAAATGCAAGCTACCTAAGCAGCCACTTTTTGCGGAGTCTGGTTTTTGCATGCGGCCGGACAGAAATTCGGTCAAAAGCCGACATCCTGAGGTAACTGAACTATTATAGAATTATGCTGCACGATGATAGGTTTTACAATCCTGCTTAATTATTCTTTTCAGAACGAAAACGCATTTTGGAATTTCGGTCGATAGCCTACCTACTGGAACTTCAAGATAGTGAAAATGCTCTTGCGCTTAAGGAAATTCATCACATTACCTATCATCGAGAGGACAAAATTTAGTTCCTAACAGTAGAATGCGCGCTGTTTCAGCCGACCTCTCATCTTTTCAAACCCCAACTCCTAGCACAGTTCCAGTCTGTCTTAGCACTGATAACACAACAAATGCTACATGTGGGTTTCGTGGTTGGAGTGGAGCGTTATAGGTGAACAGGTCATGTTACCCAAACAAAGACTACGAGAATCTAGACGCACTGAACTTAGGAAAATCGACCAGCTACGGCCCGACAAAGAACTCACGCCATGAAAGATTGGGGAGAAACCACCGCCCCGAAAATATCTTCACAGGGATTCAGCCACTCACCATCGGAATGATAACTAATGGCACAAACAACTGTCCAATCCAAAAGACATTTTCCATAAACCCGAAGCAGCGAAATGAGTTAGTTTAGCCCAGGCCGGCTACTTGGGTAATTCATGTGATTTTCTGTACGATTTTGTGCATTTGGCGCCTTGACTAAGCTCAAGGAGGTATAAGTTATGTAATAATTCTGTTCCAGCGAGCCATTCCTTTTCAAGTAATAACACCGCGACTCTCAGATTTACCAGATCCGACCCTGCCCAAGTGCTCCCTAGTTTTAATTTACACAAAAGCACCCTTTAAGACTGATTCCTCCTGTTTTTTTCGATCGCGCTTTGAATGTTTGTTTTCCATAGGTCAATTTTTGTATCGAATTTCTGAATAAATTCCAATTACTACCTATTTTTATTGGTTATTTGTGCCTCAGAGACAGAAAGTTACTGAAACGCGTGAAATTTACTGGCTTAAGAGACCTACGCTACATATTCTTGCTTTCGATTTAATTTGCGTAAACGACGGTGGCGTCTCTGAACCTTGGTTACATTTGCCGGATTCTCCACAGCTCTTTAAACGGCGAGGTAATTCCTCCCAGAAACCGAGTGTCAATGTTCTTCAGACTTCTACTTGAATTGAGTCGACGCCCAGACACTTTGCTCGATGTTTGTTCCGCCTACCTACTCATTCCCTCAAGAGAGGACGGCTAGCCACGGGCAGCATTTGTAGTCTTTTGATTTTCTTCTTGCAGTCTAAACTCGCCAACTGAGAACGTCCATGAAGTGTTCGGCGCGGCGCTTTATTCTTTGCGAATTCTCCAACAATCTAGTTCTGCCGTCTGGCCTGAGCAACAGCACAGTTCGACTGGACCGATAGGTGTAGAGTATCTCGGGGGTTTCCTCTGTCATGCTAGTTGTTCTGAATCTCTTGTGACCTCTGTTATATATTGCTTCGACAACAGCGAAATGCAACCCTTTCTATTCGTATGTCATGTATGCCGGATCTTCTCGGAGGACGATTGATTTTTTTCGGCGTCTTGGAGCCAATTCTTTTGTTGTCTGCGCGCTAAATAAAGAGCATTTTATCGGTGGCTGGGCTGGCTTCCCGCACTATGCATCACATATTTCCTAAATTCACATCCTACGGGTATTGCATTTGTTCAGATGGTGCTCCTTTCGAAGTATAACATTGACGGCACAGTAATCTTTTCATGATCGGTGGCTTTTTCCATCCGCAACCGAGTAAATGCTAACAGCACTCCTTTACTCTTCGTAAGTCAGTAACAGGCTTTAGTTAGTTACTATTTATTCCGACTACTTATTTCATCAATCAACCAATATTTTTTGTTACACCAAGGACTTCAATTGAGGTTTATATCTGTTGAGTTGGGGTGGACAGACGTCCAGTACGTAAGACATGACGACCGTAGTTTCAAGATATGTTCAATGAGTTATCGGCGAACTGAGCAAGTGCGTGTCTCGAATTTTGGGTAAGACCTTATTGTGCGGCCATACATACGGAACATAATACTATCGACCTACTGATTTGCTTCGCGTAGGCGTAATTACGTTGAATGTGTTTGTGGCCCCCTTCTAACCTTCAAGTTGTCTGGGTTAGGGGTAAGGGTAGGGTAAGGTGTTAAGGGTTAGCGTTAGGGGCTAGGGTTGGGGGTTCGGGTTATGTATTAGGGTAAGGGGTTGCGGTTAGTGTTAGGGCTGCGGTTACGGTTTGGGTTGGAGTGAGGGCAACCCTAACACTCACCTTATCCCGAAGCACAACCCCAACCCTAAGACCAACCATACCTCCAAACTCGGGCACAAAACTGCGCTTTTCCGTTTCAGCATGACCTCGACTACCCAAAACAAATCAGTAGTTCGGCAGTATAATCCTTATCATGTGCGCTGTACACCATGCCGAATGACGTTTACCACGCGTCGTTACTTTCGATTGGCTGGTTGGATGCCTACCGTATTTTCATCATTGGCGCTTCGGTTTCAGCCCATTCGAAGTCTTATCGCACACCTCATTACCTCATTTTTTGCTAAGCAATTTCACAGCTATCCGTAAAATCCGCTTTGCCACCATTCCCGTATTACAAGTGGCTGGGGTTAAGTTACTTCATGGACGGCTACATACTAAGATCTAACTGAATTTTGTACCCCAAAGAAACTTACTTTGTTCCAGATTCCGGTCTTCCGAATGCTCACGTAGCCTGTTAGAACTAAGAATTGATTTGACCCAGTAATATCTTCATCCTCACATTTTACATCAGGACTTTCGGCGAACGCCGACTTCACCCATCTCTCATCTCTGTTGGTTGCGAGCCCAGAAAACCCGATAATCTTTCCAACGAAGCACCTAGAACAGCTTCTACGAAGGCAGAGTTACTCTTCTAAACTGAGACATTGGCTGTATCGTCTCAAAGTACCCCCATGAACTACTATTGTCTGAAGTTTTTCGACAATGCAAACATAACCACCTTATAAAGCCACTTGCTACAGACAGAATTGCAGGAGTCTTTTCTCCTTGTTTGTCAGGCGAAAATCGTTACCAGAAACTTACGTCTTATGAATATGGAAAAGTTATGAAAATCGGTGGTGCCCGTAGTGAACTGCAAAATGACGCGCACTGCTGGCTCTAACCGGGGGCCTCGTTTAGACGAATTAGCTGCGCAGACCTCTACACCAGTTGCACTTTTCGGGCAAGCATTCTAAAAGCCTTAAAAATTGGTTACAACCGACATCCGTGGATATTTCTTGCAATACTTGTCAAACGTTGACTCCACGCTGAATGAACTAGAGCAAGAAGTTAGAACTATGAAGGACTTTATCCAGGGGACCTTCGTTTTGGAGGATCGTTCGACATCGACACAAAGAATAACACGGAGTAAGGCCAGAGTTAATCTGTGTAACGAGACCCCGGAAATTATGCGCCTGTTGTTGAAGACACCCGTAAACAGAAGTCACTTAAGGACTCTCGAGGCACAAGAGAGAGGAAGCGCAACAGGAAAGACCGCAATAAAAGGGTCGCCAGAGCCCGAAGGCGGAAGATTTCAGACTCGCAAGTCGAAACATAAGAACTGAAAGGAATGTGGCAGATAACGCTCGATAAGAACGGTCCCCAGTCAGTACGCGCATTTTCTGAGCCTAATTTAGAGGGTATGTCAACCAGCGTAAGAATATATAACTAGACCCAGGGTGGAAGTATCTGGACTTACGAATCCCTGTCAACCGAATTGAAGCCCGACTTACATCGACAGCGCAGCAGTCTACCGCGAGCCCGCTACAACGGAGCACTAGTGTCAGCCAGCGACGGCCAATCAGCAGAAAACAGGGGCTTGCCCAGCCAGTGCATCATAATCTAGGGCCTTTCAAAGTCCCATGCCTCATGTTAGAATACGCCCTGTGCTCGTTGCCTGACTAGTCGCCTAATCTTCAACAAAACACTACTGCAGCGATTTTGAGCAAACAGAAAATGAACTTCGTTTCACCGTCTGGGCATTTACACTCTTCAGCTATATCAACGAGGTTTGTGGCCATTTAAAGGTATAGTACGCAACCTCCTCCCCAGCCACAGCCTAGTCATGCTAAAAAGGTAGCGAACAAACCTCGTTGGCTGACTCAATGCTTTAAAAAGTAAGTCGATAACAGGAAAGTGGGAAAGACCCTGCACTGATAGGACAACTGAATTACCAAACATATACAAGTCGCAGCGAAATGGGGTCAAAAGTCTCATCGGCAGAGGTCAGTGAGTCTTCGGATAGGACCTCTTGGGCCGTGCCATGGTTAATCGCAGTCATTCAAAGTTACATAAGGCATAGTATGTATTATAATTAACCTATTCCATTGTTGTGAACTGCCGATGGTGCGGAAATCTCCAAGCCAAGAATAAGGCTGCGCATCTCCGAGTTCTTACGGTCCATCTTTACAGGTGAACCTGACTTTTTCCAACCCACTCGCGAAGAAGAGGAAATATCTATTATCGCGGCAGTCCTCATCCCCGGAGAAACCTTTCAGGAAGAGTTGCTAAGCTTGGAAGAATCGACTTCCCCAGACCCCGATAAAATTCCGGCCAATCTGTTGAAGGAGCTCGTTTCTGAAATGGCCAAGTCGCCAACTTTGCTCCTCCAATCGTCACTTGTCACTGGGTGCCTTCCCTTCGATTGTAAATACGCAACCATCATTCCGCTATTTAAGATTATAAGCCGATTATCTACAGGTCGGCGAGTCTTGCCTCCATTTGTCGCAACATCATGGAGAAAATAATTAAGAAATCTCTGATACAGTTTCTCAAGCAGAACGACCTCTCCGATGACCAACAGGACTTTCACCATGGTAAGGGCTGTGGTATGCATCTGCTCTTTTCAATTGAACGCTGGACCAAAACACGCAATGAAGACACTATGGTGCACGCCATCTACATGGACCCAAAAAAGCCTTCAGCAGCCTTCTACACCAACGCCTCCAGCAAAAACCGTGCAGCGTAGGGGTTCGAGGAAACCTTGTGTGGAACCCGAACTTTTAGATTCGACGGCTCCAAAGAGTGCAAGTCCAGCAGTCCACAAAAGGTAACCGTGGTGAATGGAGTACCTTAGTTTTAGGCTCCACGTTGTCTCTTGTTTTCATCAATGGCAGCGTCAGGGACCGAAACTGTTATGTAGAGCGCAAGCGGCGTAGAGTCACGACTAGAGGCGAAAGGAAGACTCGACCATGCGCTGAACAGTAGACCAAGCAGGCGGCGTGAGACGCACGTGAAGTTAGACGGCCGACCGACATGCACTGCAGCGCCGAGCACGTGTGGTGGCTTTGCTTACGCGTGCGGCCCAATCAATGGCAGGTCAAACATTCGAGACATTTCCGCGGAGGAATTTCGCGCATGTGGTGGCCAATCCGCGGCCGGCACGCCATGGGCAGGAACGTTCTAGAGCCCTCTCGACGGCTGACACGCCACTGGCCGGAACGTTCCAGAACGTACAGGAGCCAGCATAAATAAGGCGTCTTTCTGACGAATTGCAACCCCTTGTGCTCGTAGGCTGTCGATAAAATGCTTGTTCTCCTAACCGACGCTCTTTCTGTTCCACCCTCCTTTCGGGTCATAACATAAACTTGGATGTCATCCTGTTTGCCGGCGACATAAAATTATGGAAAGTTGTTTATAATGTGACAGACGAAAGCCACCTGCAAACGAACTTGAGCCTGCTTGAGGACTGGTCTAAGCGCTGACCAATGCCCTTCAATGCAAGTGCAACTTTCTTCGAATAGGCAGTTGCGGTCTCCAGCCCAAGGATTTGCATTCTAAACTACACCGTTGTAACCATTTGACAGCTAGAAGGAATTGGGTGTGCGGATCACATCTTCTCTCAGACCAACACTGAACCGCGCGAGGGTGGCCAATTCTGTCATGTCTATACTGTACCTCATGAGGTGAACCTTCACGAAGTCTGACAAAGGCAGCTTCTCTAAAATATTTGGAACCTTCGTGTGGCCGTATCTGTAATACGCTATAGGGACATGATGGCCTTGCACCGTCAAAGATGTCACCGTCTTAGAGAAGGTTCGAAGGTGGGCGACACAAATGGTCAGACATCTGGGGTCACTGTCCTGCGAAAACAGACGATCTACCCTCAACCTCTTTCACCCCTCCCTAAAGGCAGCTAAGAGGGGTCCTGTACTAGCATTCCACATTCTGCATGGTCCAGACTGTTGTCTTGTCTTCAACAACTTTCTCACTCACGCTAACACATCCATTATGCACTGTTATCTTCTAAAACTACACACAGGGAAGGTTAGACTTGATGGACATAATTTTTTCTTCGGTAACAGTGTGTTTGCAGTGTACAACACTCTGCCCACTAATGCTGGCCTCTTCTCATGTGTGATTAATCTAATCGCAATCCTGACAAACATCAATATTTTCATTTACCGGCCACACATAAACACACACGCGCACTCGACAGTTTGATCGTCTCCCACGGTGTTCACCATCTGCTTCACAGCACAGAAGGAGCAGGAACGGCTTCTTAAATTAGTTAATAATGATAGTAGCTCTGCACAACATCCACCGCACTCTCACCTCCCCCACCTGGACCCGGTGTCATGACAAAGTCAAGAAAACCGGAGGCCGGAGGGGTGCAGGCGGTTGGCGCGACGAAAACCTGCATCTAGACGTATCGTCACACCTCCTGGCCCAAAACTTACACTAACCAGGATTTTATACAAAAATGGGAGTAGCTCGGACCCTTACTGGTGTGGGCCTGCATCTGGGCGTGTCGCCACATCCCTCCCTGATGGCGCTTATTGAGGGTGCGCATCCCCAATAACGCCTGGCGGACACCGATCTTGCACCGTGCTGGTTCAACGCATCCACCGCGGGATCCGCTAATGTGATCAAGCTACATACAACAAATAATTAAGTTTGTGTTCATAATGTTTTCGTCGTTCGGACCCACCTGTCTACCACATCCGGTTGCGTAAACAATTTGTTTTTCGACGCTTTTATCCGTCGAGGTTTTTCTTCGTTTTTGTAACCAGTATGGAGTCAGAAGGTATTCGCCTATCATCCGTTGATATAAACTGGACTAAATCATGCCCTCGTGATCAGGACTTAAATAGATAATTGAAACCAATTCGCCTAGTAGGGACTTCCATTTATGAGAAAGAATTGCAGAGCTGCTTAAACAATTAGAATAAGTGGCACTTATTGCATGAAACAAGGGAGGCAAGATTTAAAATTTTATCGTTTCAACCTGTAAGTGGGCATCATACTTGCGCTGCAAGATTTAAATAGACTCATGTAGTCCTCTAATTTGGCCAATGTGTATAGTCGTAACACTGGTACTGAAAAACCGGAGACCATGACGAATAAATGCCACACTCAATAAACGCTATTGTTCCGAGCATAGCCTGTTAAGCCTCGCAACAAAATTTCCTAAAATGAAGACCACTTTTCACATAATAACAAGTGCATAAAATACAGTTGATCGCAAGAAGTCCAAGTCAAGCGCCGAGTGAACTTTACAAGTGGGCACGTTTTGACAGGTACAAAAGTGGACAGAATAAAAAAATGAACGTTTTCTAGGACTCCAGTACTTCCTCTGTTACAAAATTCATTAATATATCAATCTTCTGCTTTGCGACTGAGCTGAAAAACGAGAAATACGATAAAGTACATACTTACAGACACCTTTCAATGGTTTCTGACAGTAGTTTTTCCATGAGCGATTCACAAAGGGTTGTTAACTTCTCTCTGTAAGTACGCCTGGATCTACGTAAACGAAAGTACACAAAAGACAACCACGTTCAAAAGCTGCACCAAAAACGAATTTCTTAATTGCAGTTGTTTCCTGAGAATGTAAAGGCACTGCAAGACGAAGTTTATGCTTCAAATGCTACTATTCACTTTTGGACTGTCTTGGATTTCTGGATATAAGCAATAAATTTCTTGTTGAGTATGAACCCCGGTTATGTCGGCCTCTTTTCAGAATATAACTTTTAAGGCTGATAATCTATAAAAAGGAAATCAAGCCACTGTTCTTTAAATTTTCACATTTTCATGAAATCTTAGTTGATTATTGTGACAGAACGATACTGACGGCTTAGATATCGCTTAATTTTATGTAAGGTATTTCGCGAGTGTATAAAAACGACCTGGAAATTTTGAAACACTTTGAAGCCCTTATATTCAGTGGGCCGGAAACCAGTGGCTTGCGAGCTTTATTCTCAAGGACACACATTCGTATGGAAATCTGGTCGCATTGCATCCCGCCAAACCGCGCCCTACAGCGTGCCGAGCGAGGGCCTTAAGTCTTAAAGGGAAGACTCCATTGACGCTGTGAAATCGCTACCAGCGCCTACTTGTGTATGCTTTGTAGTGGACAGCCCTAATGGCTACGTCGCACCTCTCGCTATCGCCTGCACCTACGTCCTAGCGACAGCCTGCTATGGCACGCACGTCTGCCCGGCTTCGATTTGTCTCTTTGCAATTCACTGTCTGCACCACGCATCCGGTCGATTCTCTGCCTGCACCACGCGAGGCTTGTCACTACCTTTGCGTGGGCTCGGAGCCAATCAACGCAACTCCTATCGTTGATTGGTAAGACAGGCGGGAACAGTCCAGAACAATAGAGTAAACAATCTGCAGCGACACTTTTGCAGCGGCGACCTTCGGCGACACAGGGCTCGTCGCTCTCGCGGACGCCGTCTCCGCGGCGCCGGACGCATCCTCGGGCGATTGCCAACTTTCCCCTTCACTATTCTGTACAGAATAAAGTGTCCTAACCAAATGGCGTCCTGCTTCTAACAACTTGGGATATGGCCTGAAGTTGTGGCGTACTGAGTGTACACCATCACTGCTTAGTCGCTACAGCTTTTCAAATGGCGTAATAATTTAAGACGTGTAAATAGCCGGAAACTATGATTGCCTGCTACCGAAAAATATCGATACTTCAAGTTATTTCAGAAACCATTGTTGTCCAACTGTGAGGTAGCACGATAAACCCTTTTGCGCTCCACATGAGGCCCTTCGTTGTAAAAGATGTTTTTGAGACAGTTCGTAACGATAATGTTACTTCGTAAAGTAAGTGATATCGATATGCCATCTCCATTGGGAAAACAGCCAGTTCCCATAAAGCCGCTTACAAACTTTAGACACATATCAGGATTCCGAACAGAGCTGCTTATCTGTTACTCTGAGCTTAGCCTGAATTCTTCTAAAGGTTACTCCGAGCCCATGTCATTTCCGTCCTATGTGAGTGACATGCATCGATCAATACCGTTTGGTGGACGGGAAACGGCGGTCCCGATTTGTTTTAGTATACAGCTCGCGACTAGCACTCGATTAATTAATAATATTTACCGCCTAAACTGATTGCAACGGTAATTGTGTTGGAAATGGTCATTCTGCCGTAGCGACTTCAAAATCGTGTTAGTTCCGCAGACAACTCCTAGAAATAACATTTGTGACTGGGGAAATCTTACTACTGGCTTAGGAACAATAAGTGTACCATGCAGCTGACTGATTTTCCGCAATCCGATAATTAAGTAGTTCAAAGAAACTTACATGGAGAAAGAAAGCGTACTTCACTCAAGGTTTCCTTTCTTCTAACGAACGTTCACTTACTACTCAGCTGTTGCATCTTAGGCCATAAGTCGACTTCCGACAAGGAGCCATTTGCTGATGTGTCTGGTATGCGCCCAATCAGATTTCAACTCCAATGTATGACTATATGCAGAACGCTATTCATATGCAGTGGATTTGGCTCTCAATGCTTATTCTGCGTCTTTAAGCAGACGCTGATATTCTACATTTGAGCTTTGCCTCCTGAGGATGGCATGGAAGCGAAGATGATTTTCGGCTACTTCAACAAAGACGCTGGTCCGCAGGTATTTTTCGGTAGCCACTTCGAAGATTTTCTCACTTTCCTGAAATCAGCAGGACAATTGATTCGCCTACTACCTTTTTGAGGATACCCGTCGTTTATGCGTGTATTGTGTATTTTATTATCAGATGGGGAAGACCAAGCAATCATCCATTGTCGTCTTCATGACCATTCAGTGGAGACGATAAATGTAGCATGTCCATGAACTGACTTGAAGATTATCAGAAGATGAACTAATGGTTTTAGATAATGCAGTAACAGCTTACGATACGGAAAAATTAAATTCCGGCACCGTAAAAGTAGAGGCTTTATCGTGAGTACTGCTTAAAATGGGTAATTCAAAGAATTAAGGCTCCCAAAACATCTATGAATTAAGTCGACATTTAATGTCGGGAACAGAAGTCAATCCATCTTGAAATAGATTATCATTTATATTCATTTAGACTGCACTGACTTTTTAAATTTCATCATCTGAACGAATATCCAGACAGATGTCGTTGTTACTTGAAAGCATGAAGGATTAACTTACTCTTCGATAAGTACCGGAAGGCGCTTGATCTCTCCATCAAGAGCGCAGAGCGCACTCAGAATGGTTGTTAGACCGGAAGAGGATCCAGCTTCCGCAATTAACTGTGTCTCGTCCATGTCGCAGTTCCCCTTTGATAGGTTAAGATTTTAAATGTCAAAACTGTTGTGCCAGCTTCAGGCAGATATTCACTCAGTCACTTTTTTGCTAAATTCGGATGCAGTTTTACTTGCAGATACTAGGTGTTCCGTGAATAATTTTCGAAACTACATTTGATTAAAACATAAAGCAAGGCACAAATTTAAATGCATATGCCAAATGAACATGTCAATCTAGCGTAGAATTTGTGTCGCATTCGCTGAAATATTTTAAGTGTCTTCTTTTAAATGTTAGAGTGTTGCATCAGGACAATGGTTTCTTGCTTCGTTTAGTTGTTTTTAGTGAACAGCACTAAAGTGAATCAAGCACTGACGTAGATTTCAAGTACAAAATCCCCGATTATAGGAACGAGGTTGGGACTTTTTTACAGGATTTTGGCCAGATGAAAACTACCCCGAAAGTTTTCGGAATGTTAGGTTCCCCTTAAAATATAATTTCCTTGATAATATTTTGTGTTGCTCAGGACGAGAGCAGCGGCTTCCCGGGACCTCAAGCGAAGATGAGGAGGTAAAGTAAACTGTGGGCAATACAAGATAACACAGGCTTACAACGTTGTTGAATGTTTGAATGACTTTTCAAATGTTAATTATAATAATTTATTCTAACTTACTCAAACATCATTTTAGAAAAGCGAAACTAATAATAGTACTGTTTGTCTAATATTTTGAAGAATATGCTAACCACTTGACATAGTCCGAGTGGTCCAATTACTGGAAGTCATTCAGCCATAAAGGACTCCAGTAAAACCCCGTAGATAAAACGCTCGATATGAATTTCTGGTTGTGTTTATTTCAGGATTTTTAAAATAAAAGTGTTTCCATTCATCTTAAGTAACAAGCAAAAGCCTACCATTAAGACGGTTTTACGTAGTTTTCTGATCAGAGGAAAAATTGCTCTTTGGCCATCTTTTGTCTGGTAGAGGGGCGCTCCCCGTTCGTCCTTACGGAACTCACTCGTTCCGTTGTGCCTTCCGGACTATCTCTCGAGCTTAACGAGCAGCCGCACAGCGGCGGACGATATAGGCAAAATGGTATTACCGACAAAGACAAGGGATACTGGAATGAACATTTCCGGCTTGTTAACCATCGTCAGACAGTCATGCCCAACCCTGAAGTGTGGAACACCCGAGGCTCGAACTCGCGAACTGGTAGTTAGAAGTCCACGCCTCTAACCACTGGGCCATGGGCCTCCGAAAACCCACAAGACGACGGACCCGTGGCTCAGTGTTTAGAGGCTTGGACTTCTAACTAACAGGTTGCGAGCTCGAGCCTCGGGTGTTCCACACTTCAGGGTTGGGTATGACTGTCTGACGACGGCTAGTAGGCCAGAAATGACCATTCCAGTCTCCTTTATCTTTGTCGGCAATGACATTCTGCCTACACCTTTTGTCTGTTTACCAGATGCAAAAACGCATTTTGTGGACAGCGTAACTTGCCCACAAACAAGTAAGAGTTTAAGTCAAGCATGGCGAAATATTGACTTTTACAACGTAAAATAATCACTTTGTTAGGTGGGTAACACTATTTTGATTTTTGAGCTTCAATTATATTAACTGTCGAAATATTGCTAAACATGTCTGCAGTGTGCTTCATGTCGACAAAGCTGCAGATGTCTTGAATTTACATTATAATTTTCAGTGTTATTGAGCAAAAGACGGTGGGGGTGGATTATTACTTTGGTCGGGATATTACTTCGAAAGTTTTGCATTTGCCCAAAACTAAAAATCGGTTATTGTGAAAAGACCAGTATATGGGAATACTTGTTTCTTGGTCCGTTTCTCCAAGAAACCGAATTCTGCCATATTCTGTGCCTATTCGACTGGAATCCATGTTGACTAAAAAGAAAAAATGGTCGAAAATAACAGGAGCCCTATCTACTCTTGATGGAATTACTTAAACTCGAATGTTTCCGCGGCGATCCCCAAAATCTGAGTTGCGTAATCCTTAATTGACCTGAGTTTATCCTACATTTGGCTAGCACGCTTCTGAATGATGAAACGATAGTATCCCGTTTCCCATATTCTTCTCCAGAAAGCTATTACCTACCGAATTGCGCTACAGCACATTTTGACGGGAGTTTCTTGCAGTCGACCTAATCATGAAACACCTTCGGTACGTTCCTAAGGGCATAAACTTAACGGTTTTCACGGATAGCAAGCCTCTTTTCTTTGCTCTCAAGTCTAATTCTGTCAAACGCAACACCCGGGATATCCCCTAGCCGTACGAAATTTCTCAACCCACCTCATATATTCACTATGTTGACAGGTCGCTGAACGAGATAGCTGGCGTACCGCCCAGGACCTCAATCGCTCACTTCCAAATCTCGCGAGCTCGACCTCACTGAAATGGTTGCCAAACAACACTGTATCGGTTCTCCCTATAATGCAGACGTTTCTGGACTTCAATTTCAGGACCCCCCACTAACTAATGACAATGGCACCATTCTCCGAGACGCCGTGGTCGTCCCTCACCTCGCCTTTCTGCCACAATCCTCCCGTCGCAAGGTCTTACCCTTCCTACACAACCTCTCAAGCCCTGGGAGTCGAGCAATCGATAAGCTGGTTTCCCACCGCTTCGTTTGACACAAGGACCTCGAAGCTTGGACTCGGGTGTGTCTCGGCTATCAACAGAATAAGGCCCATTGACACAACAAAGTCCCCATCGGCACCTTCCCCAGCCCTGATGCAAACCTGGACATTGTAGGCCTTTGCCTCCGTCTAACGACTGTTTCCATCTCATTTGTTTGGACCACTTCTCCAGTGACTAAAAGCAACTCCTCTGCTCGATTTCGAGGCCTTAACCGTGGTTAAGACCGTCCTCAATCATTCGGGTATTATGGTTACTGCCTCCTCCACCATTACGGCTGGTCGTGGTGCCCAGCTGAAACCTAATCTGTGCCAGTCCTTCCTCTCCTTTTTAGGCTGAACTCGTATCCGCACGACAACCTATCATCCGGCCGCTAAAGGGATGGACAAACGGTTCCATCGCACTTAAAAAAGTCCGTAAACGCCGCAGATGATCCGGAGAACTGAACGGGCCGTCCTCTAGTCCGGTTGGCCATCCGCTGTGCTGCTAAGTCAGAAATTGTCTGTTTCGCCGCTGAACTGATGTTCGAAGCTATTGCTCGACTTATCGTTGAGATCTCGCAAACCCCTCGCGGTGCGGTCGAGGATTCTGCGTACCCTCTGCACTGTCTCTTTGAAGTCATGCGGTTAATCTACTCGGTTCCTCCGATACCATGAGTCTTTGGGTCTTATGTAAAGAGAGACTTGACAAAATTCTCACACATATCCGAGGTGATCTACTCGGACGGCCACCTCAATCACCATACGACGGTCCCTCGAAGGACAAGGACGCTCCGCATCTATCGTGGTACTCGCAAGGAAATCATGAGTGTGGACCGACTCAAAGATGCTGTCACGTTACTCCCCCGGACGAGCTCTGTTGTCCTCTGCCCCCTGCTCCTCTATCTCCGCTATTCTCTATTTTTCCATCTTCTTTACTCGCTGTCCTTCCATGTCCGCTGCCATCAACTCCAACTTCCTCATCGAACCTTAACATTCCGACTGCAGGATACACTCACTCTATTCCTGTGTCTCTCCATTTCTTATCCACAGTGGACGTCATGTTCAAATTCCTAGCCGTTTGCTTACTCATGCTTTTTACACATGAACTGTCTCTTAGGTTTCGATACACGCCGCCTTCTATTTAGCCTGGGATACCCTGGCAGTCTACTGTCGTGGTCGCCAGCGTAACCGTGCACTCTCGCATTCCCGTTCGCCTTACGCTCTGTCAGTTCGACGTCGGGGTCGCGCAAGAGTTGACACTAGCTTCGTGTGTGATCGAAGCAAATTAGACCGCGTCATTCGCTCATTGACTGCAGACGACAAGGCATGTGAACTGGGTGCTAAGATTCTCAACAGTGGACACGGTCCATCTACCTGATGGGACGGCTGGCTGAAACTGCTTACTGAGCCGTTTGTACGGCATCAGCAAAGCTTGTCAGAACTAATTAATATTTTCAGACTTGCGATTTAGGAACCGTCGCGTTATCGATCAGCACAACCTCAGGACATCCACCTATTACAAACTGTTGAAGTTCATTTTAAAAGGTTTTAGGGATAGCATATTATGCGACCTACAGTTGCACAGCTAGTCAGTATAAATCATAATCAAAAGTACCGAGATTTTAATTGTAGTGTTCAGAAAACGCGACGACTGAAGGTGTGATGGATGTTTGAGATCGAAGATAAAATTGTAGTGGGATATTCATTCATTTGAACCTAGATCATAGCCTGGATTATCGATTTTCAGATCGAAGTTACGTAAGTTGCCAATGTCGGAAGGCATGAAGTCATAACTGACTGCTTCATTCCCGAACACTCAAAATCTGGACCATGAATAGGGTCGTCCTGCGATTTTATGGCTGATAACGCAAGCTTAGCTTGTCCAAGTTAAAACTCTCATTTAGATTTTCACAATCGCCTGTTTTTCATTAGCTGCTGAAGCAACTTCTCGTACTTTTACCTTCGGTGGTAACTATCCCGAATTCTCATGCCAACTCCTCATTTCGGCCCCAAGTAACCTGTTGACAATCACGGCGGATTCCTCTGTTTTCGCCACCTGCTAGCAGTTTGGTCGGTCGGTTAAGAAGCATCATGGTTGCATCTCCCCACGCCTGAATGATCCTCGTGGCCTTTTATGTCTTCATCTCGCTTGAACACTTGTCAAACTGTGACCGATTGCGGCGAGCTTCTTCTGTCTCACAACATTGACGGTTGTTTCTGCTGTCATCTAAACCATGTTTTGATCGCATCTGCAGCGAACAGCCTCGTCCAATCTGGGAATTCTACCTTTATGGGGAACGTTTCAAACCCTTGTATACTCTCATCTGGAGGGCTGTCCTGTCTCACACGTATATAACCTTTCCATGAGTGACAGTTTTCTTCTCCTTAATATCTCACCAAATCATATTCAATTTGTCTCTTTTACTCAACTTTGAAGGATGCTGGTCGCTAACCATTTCTATGCGAGGCTGTTTATTTTATAAACACACATTGAGCGCTGAACAGTCTTTGCCTGCTTATTTTAAAATTCACCCAAAAATGCATTTTATTTACCATGAATGTACTCATATTTAAAACAATTAATTTGGTTTTTTTAAATGTCGTCATCTGTAAGCGTGTTCAAGCATATTTGCTAGTCTGGCGTTAGAAATATTGATTGATTTCATAATTTTTGGGTATTTTTAGATTCATGTCGTAATAAAAATAGAATAATCTGATAACGTGAGTAGGGCAGTGTTCAGAATATGCGAATTTAGCGCTAAAGGTGTGAGCGGAAACAAATTATGTTAAGTAAGAGATCTCATTGTTGCTCTTACACTGCACTGAATGTCCTGTGTGCAACTCGGAAAATTATGAATTGCAGCATTCATCTCCTCTCCGCTGGTAACTGTAGATAGCCAGGCCGCGGTCTTTAAAGCAAGTTCGCTGGATAGGTTAGCCAACTGAGACACGCTTTCGGATAATCTGTCCTTTTCCTCTCCTGGAAGTGAAAAATTTAAAGACAAAAGCCTATACCAGATTCAAACAGCTTAACAAATATTAAAAGAATTCTCGCAAATATGCTAAAGATCTTGACTTATCCGGAAAACGTATTTCACATATCATCATAGTAAAAATTAGAACACAAACATACTAGCAAATGCAATTGTGATTGCTGAACTGATCAAATTACTTATATTTGAATTCTACTTGGATGAGTCCATGATTAGGAGAGTATCCAAAAAAGAAACATTTGCACCTTATTATTTAAATGATAAGGTGCAAGTTTTTCGTTTTTTGGATACTCTCATAATCATGGCCTCATCCAAGTAGAATTCAAATATAAGTAATTTGATCAACAGATTTCTTTTTCAGTTGAAGCCTTCGTATTTATAGTAGCGATCGCTACTATCATCTGAATGTTTGTAAAATTTAGGCGACTACTGCTGAAACGTGCATGTAGGGAAAATTAAGCTGAAAGAGAATTGGCGAAATCCCCGAAACAATAGGCTGTTTTGCGAAGTCTTTGAAATGTCTAATGACTCGCAGGACAATTTGCATGAAACGCCACCGAAAGCTGAAGCATAAATTTGAGTTTACACAGGGGACAGAATTAAGTTTGCTAAGGATACGCACTTATTTCACAGCTGACAGTGATTTATATGAATTGCATTCACGGACTCTTGGTTAGAAAATACCATGGAAGCGCGCATTTTCAAATTAGAGTTATGACGTATAGGTGAAAATCTCGGAGTTAATAAAGCTCAAGAACGTCATCTGTGAAATCATCCATACACACTTTTACAAACTGCATGGCGAGGATTTTGAAGACGGCCACGCACTTTAACTTCAATCTCTTAACCAAAATATTAATGTGTAGTCGGAAACTTTGAAAACAGATATCGTTTTCAGATCGTCCAGTCATGCGTAATGTAGAAACACCAACAATCAGACTTTCAGTGGGTTGCGAAATGGCTGCCTCATGCACACTTTAATGTTGACTTGACAGTGGTGATGATATACACACTGCAGACCGATTGGACGAGGATTATATATTTTTGTGTATAAATACATTTAAAATACGTACATGAAAACTGATAAGGTACCCTTATCAGTCTAAGCACTCATATTAAGACCGCAAATGTAAAACTGGAAAAATACCTGCGTGAGATTTTTCCGCTTGTTCGCATGCAAGCGTCTAAAGTTGATTTATAACCCGATGAAGCGCCATCTTACAAATGCCTTTATTGACTTCAAGTGGTCCAAGACTCCTTTTAGCTGTCTTCTGTTGTTAAAAATAATAAAAAATTTCACCATTACTCGAACATCATTATATCTCTTTGATCATTTTCCCTAACTTAATATTGTTCACAAAGTGAGACCAGCAAACCAGAGTTTTCGCATAAATCATAATTCCGTGTGCTTGTTATGGCTTTGGATTGCCACAGCTCTTGAACAGCCGTCCATTTGTGGGAACTCGGGGATTGCCAGTCCCGAAAACGTTTGGATCGACCTTCAAAATCATCCAATCTTGCGCTCCCACTACCACCTTGTGAAGACTGCATCGGGAATGCGCGATAACTGCTGTTCTATTCGAAAAGAGGACTGTGTTTAAGTCTAGACATTTTAAAGTTCCAAGTGTAGCCTGACTTTCTATAATCTGACGGTCTTTAATGGTATTGTAAAGATGGAGGAAATGTTTCCTCGATTTTCCCCAATCAAGCTTAGATTGCTAGGGTTTTGGTTATACCACGCCCTAGGAGTGTATACAGTTGATTGATGTGACACTTCGGTGGATTCTGAGATGTTGATGGTGCAATTGCCTGTCAGTGAAAATAGCCGGTGTCCCTTCCCTTTCTCCGCTGCCGATCGCCTTTCTGCAATATACTGTTGGACTATGCTAACTTGCTCTGCGTCGGCACCTCCCTCTGCCCTCCCCGAAATTTGCCCACAGCGATGCATTTACCACCGGGTGTTCAGCAGGCATGTTAGCATCACCTCACCATTCAGACAGGTCACTCCTCTGATGTGAACAAGTTCGCTTGTTAAATCAAATTTTATCGTATATTCCTAGTTTCTGTCAGTTCCCATTATACTTTTTTGTCCACCTAATCCTTTTTCTCCCCTTTCGCATGGGTGAGTAGCTTGACATGTCAACGACTTTATTCAGATAGGTCTTGAACAGGAGCTATTCCTAGCACCTCTATACTTTGGAGTCTGATATCCTTGACGTCATCGGCCGCTAAGCTAGTACAGTGGTTGACGTTGCCATTGGGTGCGCGTCCAAGTATGTCATTTTGGATTCTCAACTCCCAGTGTCTTATGGCACTTTGGACCATCAATTCCATTGTATCACTTCCAGCTAATTTGAAAGTTTTTATTTAACTACTGTTTATTTCGTTTTGTCTATCAACGATCTGATAAGCAGTCAGAATGTCCATGATAACTGCCCCGAAGGTTCTATTGGCCCCGGTTTATTTCTTGTATTCTTGAATATTCACTTGCGCATATCCACTGGTATTTTGTAGGTAAACCTATCCGAGTTGTCCGAGAGCCCTTTAAAATCAGAGGATGACTGACGTTGAGCATTTCGGACTGGAGAACACCTTCTGGACGCCATCGCCGCTCCTGCATCGCCTATGCTGCCGACAAAGCTTGTCTCTGAACAAGCCTGTCCGTGCAAATGGACATCCCCGATTTCTTGGTCCAGCCTGAACTACAACCATACTTTTCGTCGTTATAAATAACCCCTTTCCTTCCTTAGAAACCCGTCTTTTCTTCTCACTAAGAACTAGAAGGAAAAATACGCGTAGAATTCCTAGTCCTATTTTTTTTCACTGACGTTAAAATACTTCCGCCTTCATTTAACATTTACCAGGTTATAAAACCCGAGCTAACTTCTCAAGTACATACTGGTCTTCGCAGAGGATGGCAGTAAAAAAATACACGGGTCGGACATGGTAAAATAGGGCCAAACAAATTCTGGCGCCTTCTCACGAAATAAAATCGACCTACCGAGCACCTGTACTGATTAGGATCTGAATAAAGAGCATTAACTAAGCGGAATTTATGCCCTTTTTATCTAAGATATAATTTTCAAATTCCCTTGAGCGTCTGCTGAATCCAAGGTGGAAGGAAAATGTTTCTTCTCTTGGTGATGATAGATCGACCAACGATTTCGATGATGTCCACTGCGTGTCCCACAGCTGCAGCAGCGGTGAGAGCAGGAACGGTGACTTGCGCAGGGGGTTTATAGTGCCAGTAGACTTGCGCTGCATCTACCTACACTCTCTCCTCCTCCCCCGCCTGAGGCCAGTGTCAAGACAGACTCAAGAAAACCGGAGATGAGGGAGGCCGCAGGTGGATGGCTCGGACGGATCCTCGCCTTGGCGCTCCACCACACCCCCTGGTCCACACAACAAATTACCAGGATTTTCACCAACACAACAGAGATTTGGAGGCTGGCACGACCGAAACCGCATCTGGGCGTGCCGTCCACGCCTGGCTCGGATCCCAAACTGTGGTGGGAATGCCATAAAGGCCACATTAAAAAGGAGCCATTGCAGCCTGACTCTCAGACCGCATCCAGTCAAGGAGGAGGTCCAAATTACCCCGTCAGTTGCCAACCTTCCAAGCCACGGCTTTTAGCGCACCGTGATAGCTTCAAGCGCGTCAGATTGTTTATAGTGAGGAAAATGCGCTGAATCGTCGACCTCACTCTCCCTTTCCATCCCCACACTCCAGCCGCTGTCCGAGCCGGTCAGCAGACTGGAGTGGGAAATGGGCGCGGTGGTTGTCATGGTCGACTGACCATGACTGCGCGCGCCACGGCACGACCTGGCCCACCATACACACAACACCAGGATTTCACACAACGGGGGTTGAAAGGCGTGCCTCTCACTTGCGTGAGTGTGCCGTGGAAGGTGCTGTTTCAGCCCGTTCCCAGCCCACCAGTCCGCCACTCCACACAACACACACAACGCGACGAACTGCGTGAACCGAGAGCGGGCGTCAATCAGCAACCTTCCTATCCACGATGCTTGACGTGTCGGGATATTCTCGGACTCAAGTCACCCGTTCAGCCGGAGCCGTATGGCGACCGAGTCGAGATGCACACTTCCCACTTGAGTGGAAGGTGGCAGTTGGGTGCATGAGGTGTGTGAGTGTTGATGACTTCTTGGGTGATTGTGGTGGTGTTGGAGGTGGTGGTGGTGGTGGTGGTGGTGGTGGTGGTGGTGGTGGTGGTGGTGGTGGTGGTGTCGGAGTGGCGGTCAATTCCGCTCTCGTGGATGCGCATATGGCCGAATAGACACATGCGATGCCTGAATGTGCGAGGGTAGTGAGGGCAGTGGAGGCGAGTGCGGTGGGTGTAGGTTCGTGCTCCAGGCACTGGCTCGCCAGTCCCTGTGCGATGGATTCGCAAGTGACCGACCAGGCCGATGTGTGAGGTGAAGATGCGGTCGCAGTGAGGGCAGGTGTAGTCCTGATCCTCATCGCTGGAGTCGGGGGAGGTGGTGGTGGTGGTGGTGGTGGTGTCGGTTGTTGCGCGCGTGACAGTCGACTGAGCGGCCGCCGTTGGAGCAGTGGAGGAGGAGGAGGAGGAGGAGGAGGAGGAGGAGCCCTTACTCTAATTCCGTCCCAACGTATTCGAAGAATTCGTCAAAGTCTAGCGCACACTCACAGCATCTAACAATCCAGGCGGTGTGAGTGAGATCGGCACGCAGCTGCCAATTTAGTTCGGAGCTTTTGGTCTTTTAAGGCAGATGACCAAGATTCTTGACCATCTTCGTAGCCATCGGGTGTACTCTTTTCCGCGGAGCATGCTGTCCGGACTGTCAAGACATCACGCCACATGCGCGCAACCAAGATCGTGTACACCGTCCAGACAACCTTGGTGCTGACTGGCCACCATTCAGCCTATGACATTCCCTTCCTACCATGTACCCAGCTGTTTCTACAAGGCTCCTCACTTGGGCTGTCTCTAGTACTCAGTACACGTCCTGTTTATAACTAACCTTCTGTTTTGCATATATAACACTTCCAGTTGTTGATAATTCCTCTTGAAGCACAATTTCCAGGCCTGGACTGCATACTCTAATTGACACCGAGCGAATTTCCCGTAGGTTTTTCGGAGCAGCTCCCTGCTGACATTCACAAATCCTCGCCTCAGAGCAAACAACACCCGTATCGCTCGTTTGGCAGTCCTTTGAAATTGTGAGGAGGGTTTAAGGGGGGAAGTCATTAGGGCGCCTGGGTACTTCTGTTCCACAACATTTGAAAGGGGCTGAACATCAAGGGAGTAATGAAAGGAATTATCCTTCTTACCGGTCCATTTAGTGCGAACACTCAGGACCACGCATTTGCCCACATTCAAATTGAGGAGACAGCAAGCTGACTAATTGCTTAGTTGGTTTATGCTCTCTTAAAGTGCGTACATGTCTGCGTCAGGTCTGATGGCTCTGCACGTTTTAACTTCATCAGGAAACATGACGGCATTGAATCCCAGGTCGCCAACGCAGTTGTTAATGCAAACTAGGAATGGCAACGGCCTTAATACTGGGCTCTGGGGAACACCACTTAGAACGGGGGTAGGAGTTGACTTAAAAGCATCAACGCACATGGTTTTAAACTTCCTGTAAGAAAGTCTGAGATCCGTGTAGCAGCTTTTCACTTATTCCAATTGCAAATCGCTTTTAGATTAGGCGTTCGTGTGGGATGCTGTCGACCGCCTTCTTGAGGTCCGTGTAGAGGATACAGACCGTACCGTCCTCGTCCAGTGAGCGAGTCCGCTGCTCAGTCAAGAGTAATTAAGTAGTAAGGCACGATCGGCTCTGTCTAATGCCGTGCCACAGCCCAGAGAGTAGGTGGTTCTTCTCCAGGAACTACACTGTTGCTCTCTTGATTATGGCTTCATTTATTTTACAACGGATGAAGGCAAGACCAACAGGCTGGTAATTGCTAGCGTAAGTGCGACCCCTCTTGTATATTGGAAATATAATTGGTGTTTTTCGTCCGGACGATAGCCTCTCTACTTCGAATGACGAACGGGAGATGTGTGCTAGTGGTTTCAAGAGTTCGTTTACCAATTTTCTCAGGAATTTGACCGACATATTGTCCGGACCCGACGATTTAGCTTCTATCGGATTTTGTATTTCTCATGACAGATATCGTGAAGGGTACGAACTCAATCACGGACCAGTGGTCTAAACAGTACTGCTGACATTGCGTCTCCTAAACGCCGTTTCCTTAGTGAACGCTGAGGCAAAGTACCGCCTAAGTGTCCGGCTGTCTCGCTGGTTTCAGCTATTTGTAAACCATTATCGTCCTTTAGTACTGCGACCGGGTCCTTGTTTTTCAGTTGATTGTTAATATAGCAAAATAAAATTCGGGTTTTTATTCGTTGACGACAACACTTCTCGAGGTTCACTGGTGACCCAGTTTCCCTGAATATTATCGATCTTTCACTTTTCTTCCGTAACTATCTATTTAGGTCCGTATTTAACCAGGCAGGTTAACTGGTCGTCTTTTATAGCTTCGGTAGACAATTACGTCGCATTAGATCGAGTGATATCGTCCTAAACGATATCCAGTGGTCATCAGGATTCCCCCCGAGCAAACAGCTCCAAATCACGGGCATTAATTTGTTCTTTATCTCGTTAAAATCCACCTTCCATACATTACAATAGATTCGGCCGGGTCGTTCGGAGGTTCCACGGCACAGTGCCAAACGACGTTCGAGATAGCATCAACAAAGGCACAGGGAGCTCATTGGTTGGCTTTCTGTTTCCTTCTGGCGTTGAAAGAAGAGTAAGCAATCCCATAGTAGCGTTGTATGGTCACTCCTTCCGAGAGGTGCATTCGAACACTTTTCGTCAATATTAGAGAAGTCTTCCGTAAGAACTAGGTCCAGGCAACTTGCTCTCTCGTTCTCCCTAAATATTGCTGGTGCCTCTGCATGCTGTGCTCCAGGGAGGTTGACAATGAGGTCCATTAGCTTATGGCAGAAGGAAGTTGGCTCATGGTTTAATGCCATAATTTCCCACTCTATGGCAGGTCCCTTGAAATCCCCAACTATAAACGATTCGGTGGCCAGCTACTTCCTTAACTGAATGGAGGAACGAATCATCAGCTGTACTCGGAAGACTTGATGGTACGTAAACAGTCTAGAGTTCTAGATTTTGTGTGAGTTCGTTCAACTACCGAAATTCTAGCCCTTACATATGCGACTACCTCACCGTCCTGTCTATCTTGACGGTCCCCGGTAACCCGGTACGGAAATCTCGGCATCCACGATTTCGGCATTAAGCCATGTTTCCGTTATGGTAGCGATGTCGTGGTTTTGTTCTGGAACTAGCAATTTGAGCTCGTTGATCTTCGAAACAACTCAATTTGGAATGCGTAACATCAGCGTTCAGACATCTATCCATTCGATGGGATTTAATGCAAAAGTCGGCTGGACTGGTGGAGATGAACTGCTGTCTATCACGCCAAAAATCATAGGGTTGGAAGCTTTCTCCAGAGGAGTGGCTTCTGGTCGTGTCTGATTTTTACCTTCAGTATTCTGAGATTATTCTCGCCCAGGTTCGACCGCCTGAGGACTTACAATTTAAGTCCCCTTTAATGCTCTCTCTACGTGTGTGAAAAGCCCTCTAAAGAACTGTCAGGTGGGCATTCTAGAGAGCAGGGTTCCTGCTCAAGATTAGCTGAGCTTTGTTCTCATGCTTTGTAGGCTCACATTTGTATTAAGTCACTGAGCAACTGCCTTTAAGTCAGCGGGTATATATTAAGGTTATTTAGGCGGATATAATAAGGCAGCGTACTCTGATATCTTACTAATTTTGTGGTTCGCCTCTGCATCCTTTCGAGTAAATAATAATCCTGCCGCGTCAAGGGTCTCCAGGCCTGGGCTGTATATTTAAACTGCGGCCTTACAAACGTGCCGAAGAATTTGTAGAAGCATTCTTCTCCGAAAACTGTGAATGCCCACCTTACGGTGTACAGCACTGAAGTTGCGAATTTATCTGCCTTACGACACTGCGTGGAAGGCGTTAGGGCGACTGCAATCCAGATTCCGAGGCCTTTATAAGTTTCTGTTTCTCGAAATAACATTTCGTTTCGAATAATATTGCTGCGAATTAGGGACTCGATTTCGATCTCCGAAATGCAGTATCGTGCATTTGTTCAAATTAAAAGACAGGAGCCATTTGCGGGACTACACGTCCAATCGACGAAGATTTTCTTGAAAGTTTGCCTCGTCAGCAGCATTGTAGATGACTTTTCAGATTTTAATACCATTGTTAAACATGTCGCAATTGCAGTTCAACTCCTCTAAGCAATCATTTATTAAAATAGAAAGAAGGTCTGTCCGTGCACTGAGAATTATGCGGCTCTATTCGCTATGAATGTGCGTCTTGAGTGCTGTTGTCCCATGTAGACAATTTAAGAACAACCAACAAGGAAATTCTTTCCACTTGTACAGGAGACGCTGGTGCGGAACACTGTCACACGCCTTTCGGAAATCAATATAAGCCACATGCACAGCGCGTTTTGCATCCAGTGCTCTTTCCAGCTGTGCATTGTGTATAGTAAGTTCATTTCACAATATCTTCCACTACGAAAGACGTATTGTTTATTGGATAAGAGGTTGTGAGTTACCAAGTAAGCCATCAACTCCCTTTTGATAATCTTTTCTATGACTTTGCAGCAGATTGATGTCAGACTGACGGGTTAATTCCTCATCGAAAGAGTGTGACTACCGCTTTGTAAAGCCGTGCAGACCTCTGAATTTTATATCCTCTTACCTGGACGTTTGCACTCAACGGTTAAAGATCTCTAATTTTATCTCCAAATTCAAATGCTAAAAGAATGGATTCATTGAGGGTAGTGGACTTGGCCCGATATTAATTTGCCTTTCTGTTAACGACGTACTAATATTATTTCAGAATGGCAAGCTCTTCATGTATGCCGATTATCCGAAAGCTGCATGTAGGCATAAGTCGACAGATCGTGACATCGTGCTCGAGCTCCTAAAAAGCGACCAACAGGCCTTTGTCCCGTGGTACTGCATATGGCGCCTTTCCCTCTCTCTTTCTTGGCATAAATGCTCAGTTCTGGTGGGTGACGATGACCACCAACCGCAACTACGTATTGACGGTAACGACATAAATGTGCGAGAAGATATTAAGGATGTGGGTGTGTGATACTCCAAGAGTCTTTGTCTTTCGGAGCACTGAGCCCCCATCGTCTCCGAAGCATGCAGAACGGCCAGGTTTATCATCCGAAACTTTAAAACCAGCGGTATTAGAATGCGCCTTTATAACATGTACGTTAGGCCTGACGTGGAATGCTGTTCGTTTTCATTTAGCCTGATGCGTGCTGCTGAACGGAAGAAAATAGAATCCGTCCAATATTTTATTACCAAGACAGTTAATTCTTGATCGCCAGTACTTGCCCTACCAGAAACGTTGCTGGCTTACAGGCCTTGACCTCTTGAAGTTTTGTCGATTACAAAAGGGAATATCGTTACTGATTATGCTTTTGGAGGATTGCGCATTCAACCCGCTCACTAATTAAAAACATATTGACCGCCCCGATGTAATGGTCAGCGTGGGGTCTTATTATTTCTTCCTCTGGCACGTTCCAATAAATATTCACGTTTCTTATCTATTAGCAGAAATGCAATTTGAAATAACTTTCCCGGCAGTGCAAAAGCTCTGCAGAATTATTCCTTGTCTAAGGGAATCATTCGTCGGCCTTGCATACAGAAAACCTTCCACATATTTTGGGTACCAAATCCACCGGTTTACTCAAATGTAGTGATGAAGAACGTGCTCACTGATCCCCTTGGCCGCTAACACCACGGAAAATTTTCTCACCTGCCAGTGAGCAACGGTTCAGTCCTATTTCTTGAGGAGGAATGAAAAAATAAAATAAACTCACTACATCAAAGTCATTTCTGGGTCCCGTCACAGCAAGTGAAAATCATTCTGCATATGAATTTTAGACGACGTAGACAGAATCTATACGTCGTTATTGAATAAGTAGTCCCTTAAACAAAATGATGAGGGAGTAGCGGCAAATCTAAAGAAGGTCGTCGTAATTCTGTCAGTCTTTCTGTGGACCAAATCAAAGCACGCGGGCACTTCTTGCCCTGTCATAGTAGGCGGTTGCCAAAGAATGCGCTTACTTCCGACATTACTTACTTGACTGAGTTTCGTAATGGCATCCTCCCGGTCGCTCAGTGACTGGAAATATCAAACAAGCATAATTTCGCAAAACTTAAATTAAAGAAAATTCGTAGAAATCATTGCAATTCACGCGAAAATGTTCGACAGATCGCCTTAATTCCGCGAAAACGTTCCACAAATTGCTGTCGTTAGTCACTTGCGACCGTCGTACTGAAAGTGGCCTCGCAAAATCCGTGCGACATTCGTCCACTATCATTGACGAGGAGGAACAGTTTAATTTGTATTTGTCCACTATTTACGGCTTAAAAAGGGCTCGTTAAAAACTCCATTAAACAAGGAAATAAGATAAACATATGGAAGGCTCATACATTTGGGGTTAAGTGGTTGCTATACGCTCCAGCCCATATGCTTTTACCGACAAACAGAGACGTTACTGGCCACTGTAAAGGTGGCTCACATTGTGCTAATGAGATGAACAATCTTGTGATCTTATTCTGTTTTTCATGTAGGTAAGAATTCTGGAGGTCACACTCAGTAATGCGGACTGCAACTACCTTTCCCTACCCTGCCAACACATGGCCCTGCCTTGTGGGTGTGGCCGAGCGTGGCTGGACTTACTTATGGCCACGCAATATTTTTACAAATTTCAAGAGTCATGTTAACCGCCTGGTTGAAATCCTCAGTGTTTACATGCTTTGCATTTACCTAAATGTGCGTTAATTCACCCAAAAGTGCCTTGAGTCCTCACTACTTGGGGGATGATAATTTGCCTCGATAAGCCGATTAGAACGTTTTTGCTTAAGTGGGCCACTTGGGCGCCATTTATCTGCTGCTCGACCGGACGCTCATGACGAAGTGGTACGTTGTCCCACGTCGATTTCAGGTCAATCACGCCTTTATGGTCGCACTTACGTCATTAATAATAAATTTTATGTTATGCAAGCAGGTTCATTTACTTAATAGGAATCTAAATCTCACCATGAGCGTTTCAAGTGCATTTAAACTTTTTATGTTGTTTTGCACCCAACAATGAAAGCAATCATGAAGCATAGGTATTATGGCTTTCACAGAAACACAATCGACAAGGGGATTGCGTGTGAGAAGAAGGCATATTATACGCGGATGGGTGATCCCTCCGTTCCCTGTACATCGGCGGTGGTAGACCGACCACCGGAATCAAAAATGTACAAACTAGTCCCAGAAGTTTATACATGTAGTCATCTTACTGTATTGTTTACAAGCAAGTTTAGAACCCGTAGACATAAGCGAGAATGCGGTCACAGGCAAAGGCTTTCTGGCGAATTTACGGGAATTCTGCTTGGGGGCCTAAATGCCACTGTCCAAAACAAAGAAGTTGTTTCGGATGCTGCGGCCTTACCACCCAGAATTCCCCAATGATACAAAATCACTATTGCAAACGCCTCAAACCTGCATTAACAAGCCACTGAACAAGGGCAGCTTTGTTCATTTAGGTCTTGAACGTGGTTTGCTGGATCACCAGGACAGTCTGCCAGCAACGACCGTTTCTGAAATGCACATTCGAATGCATATTGACGAGGGAAAGATCTTCAAGGGATCTAGTCAGTACCTGGGGCCGATTCTTGCTCGTGTTCGCTATCCGGTTGTTGGTCAAACCTTTCATGGTTGGAGTGTTCTCCGGCCCCAGCAAACCCGATCCTGGGCGGCTGTCTGGCGAGCTGAAAGATCTACTGACCAGCGGTCTGCGTATTTCACATACGGAAAATATCGTGAAGGTGAACTTAGTCAGTGTCATCTGCGACACTCCTGCCCGATGTTATGTGAGGCGACTTAAAGATCGCAATGGCTATTACGGGTGCGACAGGTATGTTGTTTCGTAGATTTAACTAGAATCACCGCAGGTGTTCCCGTAATCAGAAATATCGTGTCTGGTCTAATTGATCCGCCCCTTTTTACGCCTTCTGCTGGAGAGGCCGATCCAAGCAGGAGCGGTTGTTCCTAGCCTGTCCGTTGTTTAGCATCCTCAACAGCAGGTCTACTCTTCGCTTATTGGCACATACAGATGTCGTTGGCCAAAACCCCCATTTTAGAAACTGCAACAGGGAGGGGTTCGACAAGCGGCTATTAATTCCATGGGTCGAGGGACCGTTATAGAGGACGATCGAAACGCAGGCGCAACATTCATGCGGTACGACATTTTGCTTTGGATTACTGCCCAAATGTCTTCAGTTTCTAGGAGTCGCCACCAATGGCTTCGCATGTCCACAACTTTCCTTTCTGCAGCACGCGTAATTTGACTGAAAAAGACTGCTGTTAACACACTTTATGCCATTTACCTCTTTGCAATGTGCATAATAATAGTATGCATACAAACTGTTCTAATAATTATATCAAAGTACATCGTTACTTCAATGTATAAAGTCTACTTGAGATCTGACGTTCGCAGAAGTAGTAGAAGTAGAGTTTGAAAAGTGAGACACAGCTCACTTTAACCCGCCTTCGTTGACCGGTTTCGGGTCTGCGTCGAAACCATATTTCACTTTGACCATTGTCGCGAACGTCCTTGTTGACCGCGTACATAATTAACGTCCCTACTTACTTCGCCTGTCAAGGTGGTTCGTGAAACCGAATAGGGGCAAACCAATTAATTTGGCGGAGGACATCCGGGCTTCTCTGTATCATTCCCGAGAATGTTGGCCGAGGCGATGATTACATGAAAGACGCACAGGTTTCATATCACCGACAGTTCAATCAACAACTACATCACTTAACTTGTCCCCAGTTTGGTTTTAGGAATCTTTTCGCACGAGGCGATGATGACGTGAGGCCATTGCGGCCGCCAATTATCTCCGCAGTCAACCAGGAGAGGGGACCGAAATAGTCACATTTAAGTGTGAATCCGGTGTTACCCCATATGACGTCATTAAGGGTCATGTACATAGAACTGTGTGCATGACTTTTCAGTGTCTGTGGACGGGCAGACAGATGCACTACTCGGAACGCCAGACCCGCATCTGGCCTGCCCCGAAGGAAGTCTCCTTATGACACGCCACCTAGGGATTGTATTTCCTCTGCTGTTAACATTATTAATTACTTTAATGACACATTCATTACCTATGCCTTACCACACATCTTTTTTTGCAGGAACCGCCGATAACCAGTGGAAATGGTCCAGAAGCCTTTTAATGTCCATTGAAGAAATGCATCCTTGCCTGTATTTTTTCGTACCGATTTCTCCCATTTGCAAGTGCTCAATAAACCGTCATTTCTAACCACTGTCTGTTCACTTTCCTATGTCGTGGAATAAAGTGAACGCTAACTAGGATGTACGGTTGTGCACTTACGCGGGGTGTTTATCGCTGATTTGCTTTAGCCGAAGTTGGAAGGATTCCGCGAGACATGTAATCGTACCGCGATAGCCGCCACTTTAAAATGGCTGCGATGACGGCCGGCATCGGCATATCCATGTTACAAATCTGTAAGAAAATACGTACGAACATTAGGTGCTATCCAAATATGATGAAAAAAACATAGTAGGAAGTTAATGTAAAAGAGTATTGTTTGAAATGGCCGAATTTTTGCTGTTAGTTTCCATATCCATATGAGAACTTTGTAAGTCATAAAATCCTGATATTACAGTAATGTAATAATATGTATGCTATATGTACCTTATAGATCATACTAAGAATAAACTCGACCTTTGTGCTGGATTTAAGACCGCGTGTATGTAAGCGGTTATATGCCCGTTTAAAGGTACTTTTATAAAAGTGCCCTTTTAAGCCCTGCTAGCACCAGCCCCGTCTGGCCCCGGGGGCTAGGCGGGGCCAGACGGGGCTGGGCCTCGTTTGCGCGGGGCTAGGGACGCGATAGACCCTAGGGCATGCCGTTTCCAACTGGTGACGTTCGGAGCGCTGTTCTCAGCTCCACTGGTTGAAGACCTCTTGATTAAATTTCATAAGTTTACACGCATCACGGATCTTACCTAGAACCAAATTTAAAGAGGCGTTCCGAAGAACGGTCTCTTACCCTGTTGGCGACCATAGAAGCCCTAGTAACAATTCCATATCGAGGCGCCAGCAAATCGCCGGGGAAAAGTTGCGATAGGTGTGACCGACTTACAGAAGATTTTGTCAAAAATTTTGCTATTAGGACGACAGCAAGAAGTCGCGATAATACGCTATGCGACGGCAGCAAAGGATATGACTGACGTTGCCTTTTATAACCAACGACCGGTATTCTATTAATAACCCATTTGCTTTATCCATTGGCATACGACGTTTTCCCCAAAGTCAGTTTAAGCCAAAAGTGTTTCGGTCTTTGCGCCGAAAAAATGTTTTAATTGTAAAAAAGTAGAATACAAAAAGTAAATCGTCTTAGATCCTTTCTTGTGTCTTCTATGAGGGATGCGACGGGCCTGCGGTTGGTTCCAAACGCAGGAATCGTATTAAGGGGCATGTAACGCTTACCATCACTATCGTTCAGTAATGAGTCTGGCCGACGCCGCCGCTTTCGGAGTGCGTCTAGGGAACGCTTTAGTCGCCTTTCGAAAGCCGCCTCCAACTCATAAACGTCCACACAACCTCCTTTGTTCCACACGGCCTAGACCGTTATTTGGTAAAATAAGACATGCAAATGCATTAACATATCTTTAATTATCCCATATACCTGTGATCCACGTAGGCCGTCCATATTTTTATTTCCTTCAAATTTATGTGTTCCGTGACATTGTCATCAAAGAGGGCAAGAAACACTCTCTTGACAAAGTCATCCGTGTTTCTCCCACCTAGGCAGATCAAAAAATCCCTCTAAAATATGCTGTGACATTATTAAAGGCGTGCCAGTCGACTTCTGAACTGTGGATCACAAAGCTTGCTGTTCACAACAATAAAGTCGGACTTCGTACTCATCGGCCGCCTAATGGGATTGAAGGCAAGGCAACCGTCGTGTCAGGCGCTCATGCACACGCAGGTTAACCTTAACCAACCTTGCCAACTGCCCGCGCATTAGCTTTCGTTCTTTTTGTTGGCACTGTATATGTTGTAGAATGGCTGAGATCCCTGCGCAAATTGCTTGATCTCGGTAATCTGCGAAAGCAATGTGTAACAGACAGCACTACCTTCATTGCTCGTCAGCCTTACATAACAGGTAATTCTTTCGGGGAAAAGGACTCCGAAAACTCTATCAACGAAAGACAAACGTGTCTCGGCTGAGAGTAGATAAGTATGTCACCTAGCAATTGCTACATTAATAGATCGTGTTCGCATGTCGCCGAAAAGTTGAGTTTTCCGATATCGCCTGAAAATTTGTATTCGCCCATTGCGTTTTTTGTCCCAAAGACTTTCTATCTCTCCTACAACCTTTATCGCATGTGCCGCCAACAGGGCGTCTTAGATTTACACAAGGAAATGTTACAGTAAGGAAACGCCGGGTTACCCTTTGCCGGCAGACCTCCGTATACACCGGTGACGCGTCGAATTTATCAACATATGGCAGGGTTTTCTGGAGCAATAGTAGTGGACTGTTTACGTGGTGGGCATTCAACTTAAAACTTTACTTACGACATCACCAATGACGACGAGCCTCTTCGAACTCTACGGCTAAGATGATCGGACGTTCGCGCCTTTTGGCAGTTTTGTTGACGTTGGGTAGCATTTGCAAATTCACTTTCCTCGAGGCTGGCGCCTTTGGTAGGTCTATGGTGTTGGTGGCTGCGCAAGTGTGGTGACCCTAGAGGCTCGCGACGGTAGTTGCCCTCAGTGAAGGCCTCAATAGGACCACCTCCACAGCGTATTTACGAAGATATATAAATTTATGGTAATAAACTTGACGTACTACTTTCGTCATCTGGAGAAGGTGGGGAGGGGAGGGGAGGAATTGCGCGACCATAATTGAGACTGTCGGGGACGCCCGACAGCACAGTCGTACGCCGACGCCTGGCATAATTCCCGCGGTAGCTGACATAACCGATAATCGTACTGCAGTTTGTATTCCTCCACTGATAATTTTCAATCAGACGATATATGGGATCGGGTTGAATGCACTTAGCCACGAATTTGACTAGGATAGTCCACTACAACTTGCGAATCTCCTGCCTGTGGCCTGCCTGATTATAGGGCTCGTCAGCGGGGGCTATCTTAATACCTCACACAGAAGGCATATCACGAACGTTATGAAGCAGCTTCAGGACAATGAGCTCGCACAGTCAAGATGCCACGAAAGACCTTGCACAGTTTTAGACCGTTGATTCGACGTATCCACCTATTACTGCTGACTTTTCTTTGTTTATTGTGGAGTACCTGTCTGGTGCATAAGTACGACTCATTTGCTGTTGACGGCGATGCTAGCTTCTCCTGCCTATTTTAATCAGAAAAAAAAGAAGTCCTACGAAGTCTCCACGTCTTGCGTCAAGTGGCCTTACAAAATATCATTTCGGAAATGTGCTTTGTATAATTCCATCCTCGAGGGTAAGTAAACACGTCAAGACTTCTGCGAACACGAAGTAGCAAATGCACTAGCTGCCGTTGATACTGCATGCAATACTTCTGATTCACGTCAACGGACTGCGTATTCATAAGCATCAGTCAGCTGCCTAAGTGAAAACTAGGAAAATCCATCATCATCGATCACGTTGGGACGCAGCAGACAACAGTAGACGCCAGTCCACTAGGTTAACCGACACGGATTCCTGTCTGTTCCCTTATTCCGAGGCTTCCAGCATTTTTCACTAAGACTGTGAACTACTTGTTGCAAGGGCTCAGTTGATTTCCCTAAGGATCTCTTTAACTGACTCGAATAACTTTCAAACGACAATGATAAGGTGTCGATCGACCACTGTCCCTCACCAATAATCATGAGATGGGATCCTCCGAGATGAGGATATTTCCTATGGCTAGAATCGACAGATCCTCCGCGGTTTGGGAAGAAAAGCTTGCTTCGTATGTCTAGACCGACTTGAAAACCGGAAATGCGTTCTGCCCTAAATAGTCTGTCAACTAAATTGAAACCGTGTCATTTCATCTTCTCCGTGGTAGTCGTAGGATAACTTAGGATGCTACGTTACTATTATTAGTGACTTTCGCCCTAATTACAGATAAGTTTTGACGACCATAAAAGCCGGTCTGTCCCGCTGCATCTTGTTCTGAGTGAAAGGTTTTGCTTATTGGTGTGTTTTCGTTACAATTTGTGTTTTCAGCTAACTTATCTCTTCAGCGTGCTGTTCATCCGCCTGCATCTCTTCTTTCATCTGGCATTCATAAATGTGAAGATGGGTTCACCCGTTAGCCTGGTGACTGGCAACCTGGTGCCTCCATAGGTGATGGATGGTGAACTGACATCAGGCTCTCGGTTTGGTGACTAAGCAATCGTTGACTAGCATCAACATTGATACCGCAGTGCTGGGGACTGAAGTCCGGTGCGCCAACTTCATTGTTTGATACCGAAAAGTCTGATGATAGTACCATGTCACGGTGACCGTTAACCGTAAAAAATTAGTCTGCTGGCCACCGCCGCCTTATGGTTAGGTTCTAGGGCCAAGGCTCTAGAGTACACAACATCGAACCCAGGGAGTCAGGCCTCCGAGAATAAAAACGCACTTCGCTGTTTATTACAGCGTTTCACGCGACTCTTCTGTCAGACATGGAGTGACGGCCCTCTTCTCGCAACATACAACTCATGCGTTGCCCGCGTGAGACTCTGTCTATGACCAATCAGCTTATGTTCAACCGAGGAATTCTCTGCTTACATCTCTGCTGTTCCCACCTAAGCGTTACCATCAGCTACCGGCCAGCGCAGCAAGCAGACCCTTTACTCTCAGCTACGGTAGCGGTTTGAAAGACTCCTCTGGCGTGGTTTGATGACTGTTGTCGGAGGTTAGATTGGCTGGGCTGGGCTGGGCCAGATGACTACTCAAACAACCACCCTGGGTTAATTCTTGATGTGACAATTGTAAAAGGGTATTGGGTTTATTGCTGCTGCCTTTTATCCGCGCTGCCGCCATGTAGAGGGGTCAAAGTGGAAGCCAGCCCAGAACTTGGGTAAAATCCTCCAGATACTCGGTTGTAGATCGTCACGTGGGAAAATGTAATCTACAAGATCATCGGGACCGACTAAGTCAGACGCGATCACAGTCGTACCAGCCGTAAGCAAATGGGCAGTAATTGTTAGTATGTTGCAGGAAGACCTATATCAACAACTCCCTACCTTCGTCGGTATTGCCTGCTAATTTCGCACCCTATGCGAGATCGGATATATACACACTATTCTGACTAAAGCCGTTTCGACAGATTGGAGGTCTTTTTTGTCTGACGTTGTCAACTGGACCTAAGGAATAATTTCACATAATCGATACGTGGTCGCCGCGGTCAAGTGGAGACATCGAGGCGACGTCGTCGATACTGTCTGGCGTTTCTTTAAAACTAAATGTGAACTATAAGCACTGTCCTTCGCATGTCCTGCCCGGGAACATAGCCAGTTGTGCGAGGAATCCTCTCATATTTTGTGCAGAGGACCTCGGAGTCAGCTGAATGATCTGATCGCCAAAGCTTAGCTTCAGGTCATGGACATGCACTGCCCCTCAGTCTGACGCCGCACTTGAGAATGTTTTCTCGACCTCCGCAGGTGTCCCGTCGCTCGGAACATGGTCTTATTTTGCCCTGTTGTGTGCTTTAACTTCATTCCGTCCAATACCTACACATCAAACGACAGGCGTACGATGGTCCAATATTGACGCACCTTTTCTCACCACTATATGGTCCACTTCATCAACAGAAAAATTCCTGTTCTCACTGAACCATTTTCAGAGGTTATGTGGCCCACTGTATGCTCCACAGCGTGATCGACTTAGAACGGTGACTTACGAATCATCTGCCGTATTCTCTCCTTCACCAATCTCGGCCCGGTGGCAAAAAAGACTCGTAACAACTGGAGGTCGGCTCGGGCGCAGTGACTGTCAATGCTTAATGGCCTGGTCTCGCACAACGTGCCCCGTTCCCACTAGGTGGGAACGGCTGGGATCCCACGTGGCTGAGCGCCGTGGGGACCTCATTCGACAGGAGTCATAGAACCTGACTTTCAATCCTTGGGTCAGTTATCCCATATACACACAGTATTGACCACTAGCACCGAGTTATCCCGCCAGTTGGTAACCCTCTGATCCACGACTTTTAACGCACGGTAATAGCCTCAGAGCGCGCCAGACCTATTGTGGCGGGGAGTGCGCTGATGTGCAGTGGGGAGGGATTCTCCAGTCTCGATCTCAATCTCTTTCCACTCCCATCCACCAGTCAATTGTCCGAACCTGTCGACCACCTAATAGTGGTGTTGGGCACAGTGGCTAGCAGAGCTGCGTCATTCCGTCTACATGTGTCATGGTTTGGCACCAGCTTGCGCCAAAGAGCATGCTTACCATTAATGTTTCAGTGCGCTGAATTTACAATTAATCGGCCAGGCCGGTGCATAATGTAAATGCACGGTGGCAATACGGGCAGGATAGGTTTGTGCCTACCGAGTTAGTGGTGGCGGCGATGCTGTTAGTGTTGGCAGCGCTGATTATTGGGTATTTTTCGGATGTGTTAAGGGTGGGTTTGTCCGTCGACATTTTGGTGAATTCGCCTGTCGTGGATGCGCATGTTATCGAAAAGATCCACGGGATGTATTGTTGTCCTGCGATATTGTGGACAGGTGATACGCCTGTGATGGGTTTATCTTGGGGCTCTACAACTGGTCTATCGATCTTATTGCGGTGGATTCGCAAGTGGCCAACCAGGCCTACGCTTGAAGTTACGATCACGGTGGAGACAGGTTGAGGTAGAGTCCTCAATGCCTGTGTGGGGGACGGTGAACTGCAGGGCATCAGGAGTTTGCTCACTGATGGTTCTAGGGGATGAGACAGTGGTGACGGCAGTATTTTCCGAGAAAACGAATGCACGGCCGCGTTGGTAGTGTATTTGGTCCGGAGATGTCCCACGAGGCCAATCCGTGCGCCAAACGCTCGTTGGCACCAAGAAAATGATAGAAGAGGGCTGAGTCCTGGTAGTATAGCTTGATGTCGCTTGAAATTTGCAAACCACTCTTTTAGCCTTGGCAGCGGCGATCCGATTGACTTTGTAGAGAGAACCTCCAACAAGCAATCCAAGCGGCTGTTGGAGATCCGCCTGTACCACAAATTTCCAAGAGATCCTATTCAAATATCCAACTACTGCGCTACTACTCATGCTACAGCGTCCGCGGGAACGGACACACTCCGCAATCGTGGTCCGTTGGTGCGGACGAATAGTATGCGAGCTGGACCCGTATTATTGGGTACTGGTACGTGCGAACGTACTTGGACCCTGCTACCCGGTCCGACGCCGTGAAACCCCACATCAACGTTATGTTGATGTCTGCTTTCTGTCTGGAATCCGAATCCCCAACTTAGGCGCTCAGAAAATATAAATTCAGGGAATCAACTTCCACTTCACCCTGTATCACAGCAGCCCACGCGACTTCTGGTAGACACAGTATGACGGACGCCCCGGCAACAAACGAACGATGCGCCGCTTGTATGGAAACCAGTCAATGACCGGATGGCTTTACAAAAGTCTCTTTAGTTTCCGTGCCCTCACCAACAGCAGCTGTCGAACAGCACGATAACGACACCTACTCTCACCAAGAGGAGTTCGTTGAACGACTCCTTCGCCGTGATTTGCTGACTGATGCCGAGGACCGGAATAGTCGGAAGGGACCCGGCGGCTCTTCGAAAACCACCTATTGGCTGCTTTGGACCCGTCTGTCAATGCGACATTTGGAAGGGAACGCCCGATTTTTCTTACAAGGACCGACTATTTATTAACAAAATGTGCTTCCAGCATCGTCACAAACGTCCACTGACCTGTTATTCAAACGGCCAGTCAGATCAACTACATTCTAATTTGTTCAAGTTTACGTAACTGGGTTTACGATAGTAGATCGATGCGTGGTGCCTGTCATGTTAACATAAGTCCATGGCTAAACTCCATCTTATCTACCACTTTTATATTTATGGTTTTAGTCCCAGTACGTCAATTGTAAGATGAATAAAGCCATGTTATATGGTATTCTCGTTCCGACTCTTGCATCCATAGTTATTAGTCCTCTCAATCTCGTGTGCTTGCTATGGTCCTAGCTGCAACAGTAACGCCTATGGGTTGAATCATATTCTTGTTCACACGCCTGTAAGTTCACCTCTCATCTGCCCTCCCCCCCAAATGCCCTAATGTCACGGAACTTCAACAACCTAGCACCACCAAAGCCCTTGGCACAGAAATTCCGTCCCGCTTTACGACTGGATCTGACGGAAAAGGCAGTGGTCAGTGGTCATAATTGATGTTAACAGTTTATGGGGCAGGTGAGAAAATTCTTGTATTCATACAGCGGCCCTGCGGTAACTGAATCAGTGAAGGAACCCCCCAGCTTGTTGATATAAGCGAGTAGGCGAGTTCCAGAACGCAGTTACAGTGGTCGCATCTTCTTCTTCTGAGCCCTGCAGTTGTCTGCCCAGACGGATCGAGCCAGGTTCCGCAACAATGATTCCTTCTGCTAACTCCGGAAAATGACAAAGTTGGTTAAGGATGAGCAACAAAAATACTAGACTGAAGCAGCGACCTGCATGGAGCGGGCCTCAAATGCTGATGACAGTCGAAACTACCAAATTATCTGCCAAGTTAGTGGTAAGCCCTCCGTCCTGAGTGAATCTGTTCGCGATCTGAATGGTGACTTTACTGCTAACAAATCGGTCGAGGTCGATCGTCGGCGTGGGCACTTCGAGCACTTTCCTAGCCTTATTGATCAGCCCACCACACCCTCTCCAGCCCATGCAGTGTCATTTGACCCCCCTGAGGCGGAAGTTGCCAGTGTAATACAGTCTGCACAACAACAAGGCACCCGGAGAGGACAGTATTCAAACTGAAATCTAAGTGTTATGTCGGCACTCTGTCTTCATGAGTTGGTTGGGCAAGCGTGGGGAAATGAGGTCGTTCCTGACGACTGGGGCTCAGGTATCCCTGTAATTGTCCTCAAGAAGGAAGACGAGACGGAGTGTGAGACCTACCGTTGCGTAATCTTCATCGATTTTGCTGCGAAGATCTTCGCTGTTGTCCTTTCCATGCCAGTCTAGGGTGTGTGATTAGGACGAGACCTAACTAAGCCGGCTGCCAGGCTGGATGTGGATGCGCGGGTCAAATATTCACACAGCGGCGCATTCTTGAATTCCGCTATGGCTTCCAGCAACCAACGGCTGTCTGCTTTGCTGACTTCGTTGCTGCATTTGATTCTGTTCAGCGCGAATGCCTGTGGCGGATAACGGAGCTAGATGGTTTGCTGGCAAAAATCATCGCTATGGTCAAGGCCTACTATCGCTTCTCCACTGAACGAGTTTTTGTCCACAGCCCTCTGTCCCAACCGTTCGATATCCGATCTGGCGTCCGACAAGGTTGAACCTGTCGCCTATTCTATCCAACCACACCATTAGCTGGATTCTTGAAAGAGCCGTACACACTTGTCGTTGTTAGATTTGCATCCGGACGCCGACTGACCTCGACTACGCTGACGATACTACCTTGCCAGCCGCACACTTTGGTGATCTACAGTCCGTGGTGTCAAGGCTGAATGATGTCACGAAATCCGTCGGTTTATCCATAAACGCTGGGATGACCAAAATGTTTTCAAGCTGCATCCCTGAGCGGGATGGCACCCCTGTGGACTAATGACTGTCAGTTTGAAGAAGTATATGGTCTAGATACCTCGGGGCGAGGCTGCTACCGAATGCATAGAGCAAAAAGGACATTATATCCCGAGTAGATACTGCCCGTAGGTTTTTCTCCATCCTTAGAAAGTGCATATTGTCTTGACGCGACTTCTCCATTGATACAAATATCTGCGTGTACCGTGCATCCATCCAGTCAGCCCTACAAGGTTGTGAATGTCGAACCGCGCGTCTTGAGAATGAGCGAAAACGTAGTGTTTAGTCACCGCTTCCTGAAGACCATCCTTCGAGTTAAGTACGCCGACTTCGTTCCGAATGAGCCACTCCGCATTTGCTGCGACAACATCGCGGAGGTGTCCAAGACCATCCAGGAAGGACAAATGAGGTAGTTTTGGCATCGTCGTCGTCCGCTCATGAGGCCAGTCTTGCTGTCATCGATCCGGCGCTGTTGCCTATCTGCAGGGGTCGGAAATGGCAACACAAACCCTAGGCCGACATTATTCGTCAAGATATGGAGGTTGTTTTTGCACCCTTGCTATTTGGTCGCCGTTGCTAGAGAAGAGAATGAGTCGAGCTGTCCAGCTCCGCTGCTGCGGTCGTCACGCATGAAGAGGTACAACTGGCGACATCATCGAAACCGGCTAGGTTAGGCATGGTGGCAGCCGTACCAGGTGCTTTGTAGATTTCTGATCTAGTCTTGACTGCTGTACTCCAGGCCGGCCGATCCTGGACGAAGTCCTTCCAGATCTTCACACTAATTTGCCTATCCTTGATGGAGGTTTTTTTAGCGTCGCATTTGTCCGCTTTGTCGGCATCACTGTGGCGACATCGTCACAGAATAGTCGATTGGGTATGTGCTCGTCGTCCATTCTCACATGGTCGCCCCACCGGATTTAGATGTGCTTCGACACACGTAGATGTTGAGGATTCCAGTTCGCCGTGGGACTTCCATATCTGGCTACCTCCGGATCAGTAGTCTTCGGAGGCAGCTGACATGGAAGTAGTTGGGCTTTGATTTACTTGGCGTAGACTTTCTAGGTGTCTCCCCACAGAGCAGCGCCGTTAGGAGTACGGCCAAATACATCTTAAATTTCCTGCTGGAACGATGATCACAGAGATTCTATACTGAGGCCTGCAGCTGGCCGAAGGCTTGACTGGCTTTAAAGATCCGGTTCGTTACCTTATCGTTGATATTGTCGCTTGGTGCTCAGGATTGTACGCCCGAGCTAGGCGACGTCGTCAACCACTATGAGCCGACTTGCATTCATGTTAATCGTGAATGAAGCGTGTTCGCCCGCTGGTGCTGCTTGAGTCATGACCACCGTTTCCTCGGTGTTGATGATCGCTCCGAAGCTGACGTTACCGGAGGCAAAGAAATCCATGATTCTTTGTATATTTGCCTCGGTCGCGGTTTTAAGTGCCCAGCCACTCATGAGGAGATCGTGAACTGTGGTTGTGAGTGTTCGCGTTGATATCTGTATGTGTCACATATTTAGGAGCGGCCGTCGGTCCCGTAAAAATGTTGATTCCAGGGCGCTCTTTACTATATGCGTCCAGCAGCATAGTGGGAAACATGAGGCTAGAATGTGGGTGCAGTTACACATCTCAACGTTATCCTACTGGTTACTGTAGATCTTTCCAGGGTGGCTGCATTTACCGTGACGCGAGCCATCATCCCTTCTTACTGTGTCAGTGAGGTGCTCCCGACACTCGAATGTCAGCATAATCCTCCAGAGTTCTTCGTGATTCACGGTTTCTGAGTCCTTCGTTAGATCCACGAAGGTGGTGTAGAGGTTGGTGTGCATTTCCCGGCACTTCCGCAGTTGGCGTGCCGCGAAAATGATATCGATAGATCCGCGGTCCCATCAGAATCCACAACGGCTTTCCGGGAGGAATCCTTGCTCCAGGTTCGTGTTGGACGATTGAAGAAGAGGATATGCACGAAGATTTCCTGTTGCGCCCGGGAGCAGTGTTCCTCTGTGGCTATCATTTGGTTGACAGTTTCCCTTGCGTTTGTAGATGCGCACCATGATAACGCCATTGAAGTCTTGAGGGACTTGTTCTGGCCACCACTTCTCCTGAAACAGCGAGTTAAGCTTTTCAGTGAACCGTAATTGCGACCCCTATTTTGTGGTCCTACTATAGACAACGAACCGGTGGAATAAAATATCTACTTGCTTTAAGCGGGGGGGGGCTGCCTCTCTACACCATGTTTACTTTTTCCAATCCAATACTCACCAATACTCTCTTTTTTACCACCGCTTTCTTTCATTTCTTTTTCTCGTCAAAGAAGCGATGCAAACAAACATATCAGCTGAAGAGTTTGCACGCTTCCAAAGTCAACTTCTCGAGATACGTCAGCAGAAGTACACCGCGGATGAGGCTCGTGAACGCGCCGAGAGGGGGGCCAAGCAGCTGGAAGCTTCGCTTGCTGCCAAGTCCTGCGAACTAGCTGAAGTGCTCAGCACTCTATCACGTGTTCAGCGCGCTGGCGACATTGACAGTGTGGTGCGTGAGAACCAGGTCCTGCGTCAGAAACTCGTAAGCATTGAGTCATCTTTCCAACTACAGACGGCCACTCTTCGGGGGGAATGTGAACGTTTGCAGGCTGATAATGCTGTCCTCCTTTCATCACTCAAGCTTGCCGGACAATCTTCCGAGGGTCATCCACCTGGTGAAGACATCTGCACGCAGACCGAAGCTAATTTTCCTATCCTGCCTACTGCTATTACACAAACCGACCCCCCATCTATGCACTCCGCCTCCTGTCAGACCACACTCTCCCTTGGCGATTACGCCCATCTCGAAAAAGCTTTGCAAGCCAGCGAACTCTCACTGGCTGATTTGGAGATGCGACTAAACGAGGCTAATCGGCAGCTAATAGAGGAGAAACTGCGGTGGGGTCATCAGCATGATGATCTGACGGATCAGTTGCAGGAACGGGAGCGACAGGTCCAACGTCTCCAAGAAGAATGTGAGGATATAGCCAATGAATTAGCCACCACACAGACCCGAAACGAACGGGTTCAGCGAGACCTGCGTCGACAGCTGGCTAGGGCCATAAGGTCTTTCAAGGGTTCAACCTTTGCTGTCAGTGGCGGTGCTGACTCTTCTTCGACCTCTAGTCTGGTGCTCGTCAACTCCCCATTCTTGCAACAGACTCAACCGCAACCAGTAGCTACCTGGAATCGTTATGCTGGAGAAACCGATCTCACATCGAACAATTCTTTTAGTATTTGCAATACGATCGGCGGTGGCAGTAGCGGGGGCGGTGATGGTGGCGGCAGCGACGAGGTCTCCGAAACGTCTTCTAACACCAGTCCCCAAAACGCTCAGACTGTGGCGTTCTCTGAAGAAGACTTTCGGGTATGTTTCTACTACGAGTAACTTGTTTTGCTAAAACATCCCCGGAAATCGTTTTACCACCATAATCGCTTAGAAAGGTCACAAAGTATGCGCCGAGTAATGAGTTAGATAAGTTATTACTTTCTCACCAAGAAGGAAAATTCTCGACGAATGTTACCCCAACGACAAGAAGAACCAGAATGATCGTCCTTGGTTTATTTCCCTTCACCAACTCGCCCTAATCCAGGCGCTGGTGCATGAAAATCCAACATTCGAACCAGGTCAACTAGTCATTAAGTCAGATGCTCTATCAGTTAATTCTCGCGTCAACACCCTTTGGCTGTCATTGAGAATATTCAATAACACGGTGCCGGCGTCCGCCGATGTATTCCGGTTGGAGGACGGAAAACGGAGCAAAGTCGTGCGTCATTACATAAAGACCAGGACAAGATCTTCACACCGAACACAAGAAATCCGAACAGACACGACCCCGAAGGGGAGGCAGCGTTACAAGCGTCCTCCATCGAAGTGACGACACGCAACGCTAGCAGTCGTAAAGCCTCACAAACATCAGCCAAAGGGTTGAAACAGCGAAAGAAAAAATCGATCTGTCTGAAGTCGATTAGTTCGATCGGTCATTTAAAATTCTGGTCGATTTTCGGCATTAGACGCTTTAAAAGTGAAAAGTCGGCCATGCTCTTCGAAACGTCAGTAATAGGACAAATCTGTTCCGGTGAGCAACTTCAGTTTCTTGGATAGCGGAATAGTCTTCTTGCGACCCAGTCCCATATTATCTAGGTGTTGTTTTTCTTCCGAATACGTCACAATGCTACACAAGGCGTCATTTCACACCAAACGGCGAAATGAAAGTTCGTCTTAAAAATTTCCGGCAGTAAATAGACGGACTTAGCCAACGGAAACCATTCATACTGCAGATATAATGATGTGTGACATACTGCCAACCTGGTGACAAGTTAGCCGAGTTGAACATATGCGTATTCATCGCACGTCGAATCACTGTCGGCCACTCTGACCAATAAATTCCATGCCGCACCGCCCTGTTCACGCTGTCCTAAATCAAAAACCGTAGTTGCCTGTTCGAATGCATTCAAAAGCTTGATAGTGACCATTAAATAACCACACTCCATTCATACAGTGACCACAAAACTAAGGTTGGTCATCATTGATCATAGCAAACGAGCCATAAAGCGAAGTATGCGATTAAAATCTCTTTCACTTCTTATATGGTCTTATCTGTTTGCTAACGCTATCCTTCGAGATCGTATCGTACTTATAAAGGTTGAATGAAGGCCCACGATGTCCACTTCGGGAAGCAGTTCTGGATATAATGTCTGCACGTAATAAGTGACTTCAGTTGCCTGCAAAATGACAACTTCAAAGAGTTTCCTATAGGTAGTCTGCTGAGTATGAACGCAGGAGTCTAGGTTTGTTTGAACGAGTCGGTTCTGGTGCAGTACTTCTCTAGCGGCAAAATTCCACTTTCCAGTGAACCTGACTTCAGCTATTTCTGATAGGTTGCCTGACCACTCACAAATTTTTACTCCCCTTATTGTTAACGCAAAGTCGCCGGCAAACCCATCGCTACACGTAACCTCAGTCGGTCTCCTTATGCGGCTGCCAATTCTGAGCGTTGTCCTTCGAAGACGAACGAAAATCCTAGGTCGAGTGAAGCAGTCCCGCTGCCGTAACTCAAGGATGCCTCGTGTCATCCAAGAAAGACGGTTCAGGTAATTTAAGCGCGCCCTTTGCGGCCTGCCCTATGAAGATCATGTCATTTCTCTAGATCCTGCGCCGCCGCCTATGTGGAAAACGCGAAGGGGGGCCCACTAACAAGACAAACGGGAGTCTTCGACATCTGACTTTCATTGTTCGAAAAGAGAATGAGTCTACGAAAGCTTTGAGGCCGCACAAATCAGGATCGAAGGCGTATAAGCAGATGCCCCGAGCGTGCAAACTTCATGCTCGAGTGTGAAGATGTAGAAAGTTGCCTACACGTTCACTAGGACAACTTATTAGCCGTTTGTAGTTCTGTCGGTTATTGATATAAAAAACCACAGATCACCGCCACCCGAAAGATCTGTCCCCTTCCTCTGAGTGGGGGTCCACGGTACTTCATGTACCATTCTTCTGCAGCCAGCGTTGCCTGTGACCTAACCGTTTGCAAAGAAGAAGCACAAAAATAACCATTTTCATTAGTCTTACTTTCCTTTCCAACTCGAAATCTTTTCGTTGCCAAATTTCGGTACATATTCGAATTAAAATATATTGAGACTACTCCCAGAATTTGCGTTTGATGAATGCGTTTTTCACTTGGCCTATTCGGCGCAGAGAAGGGATTTTAATACAAATACCTTAGATGTTTCTTAAAGGACAATATTCGTAGAGTGCCATTAATAAATAGGATAGGAAATGATTAGAGTTTAATGTAAAATTGAGTAGGATTTGTTGTATGACGAGTGCCAGTTAGCCGCAACACACCAGATCCAAACATTTTGTCCTACCTTAGTCTAAAACGGTTGGAGCACGTGTTATTTTTACGCTGAAGACACGACGTAAATGTACGTATTGGTTTACCATACAGGCTTATTTCAGAGACAAATATTCTAAGTGGCGTGATTACGCGACCAACCAGACAAGCCAATCTTTGCCTACTGCCACTCAGCAAACATCATGTTATTGGTCGGTACAAAGGGTGTAGCAATCTCTGTCTCGTGACACACTTCGCCTTCAAGGCTGCTCTTGTCTCTCCTTCCATTTCTGTCAATCGCCTTTGTCTTGTCGAAATCAACTTTTGCATCTCCAGCTCGCATGCGAACCATCGGAGCCGACAGCTTGGCGCGACTTTGCGGTGCGTATGGGCCGTAGAGACCGCAGCACTCAACTAACGTTGTAGTCAGTAATCAGTCTTGTTCTCTCTTCAAGTTACCTCGTCTCCCTGACGTTTGAGTTAACAACTTCACGATTGCCGCCCAAAGGAGGCGGGATAGTGATCGTAGTACGATCTGTTTCTCTTCTTTTACACTGCTGAGTAAATGGCTGTCCAAGTTAGCCGGAATCTACTCTGTACACGTCTGTAGCATAATGAATGCACCCACTTGCGCGTCCGAATTTTACTCCATTTCATTTCGTCTCCAACTCGGCTATTTCTTATCTAATACGGTGTCAGGTAACGATGACAGCATTCACTTTCAGAAGCAATTTGCTGCAAAGAAAACAGCCGCGGTGGATTGTGTTACGGTCGTCTCTGGCCATGTTGTAAGCTTGCCAACTTCTGACAACCTGTGGAAAAGCAAATTGATCGCAGTGTGGTTGATGAGCAAGTTTTTAATCCATTTTCTGGGCGTGATCTGAAGACAGACGATTTTCTATCGTGTATATAACCGTCTGCCACATGACTCCCAGATTTCGAAATTGTCATAATCGAAATGCGAGAAAGTCCCGCCCTACCTGAGCAGAACCGCGTTCATTACATGGTTCAAGAGAACTGTGGAGACCGAGCTCATGGGACGGGATGGTTTTCATAAGTCCCTCCAGGCAAACGCACTCGAGCTTTCGCGATATGGGAGGCTGACCTGTGTTCGCCGCCTGTCTCAGTTCTATGGATTAAGCAGCAGTCTAGGACAACACTTGGCTAGCGTCTACCCCTAATAAAGTAGGCAGTCTGTTTTTGCACCCTAGTTACTTGAGTACCAAGTCAACAGGTACTGGAACGTTGTGTTACCCAGAAGCACCTAGTTAACTACAGCAAAATCAAGAAGCCTTTAACCATTGTTGCATCGATTACTGATAGCAAACTCTCGAATGAAGCGTCAACAGCCTGGTGAAAGCGGTAGTGGAGCTCGTATCTTTCACCCTTTATCCGCGTTAATTGTAGGTACATAAACGACAACAGCTCTTATGTTAGTAATTTTTTTTTCAACGGTATGCGCATGATGCGAGGAGAGACAGATTGTTTCTCTTTTTCGTCAGCGTGAGCGCGACGTCTGCCTGAGTCGTCACACACGCCACTTTAGCACGGATGATACAGAACGTCCGGTCCTGGGGCTTTGATTGTTATTGTGCGGAACCCAGACATTTGGACATGCGATAGCCAGGCGATGTTAATACTAGAGGTAGAGGGCAAGCCCATCGTCAGGTAATTTGCCGGGGTCTTTAAGGGCACGCGCGTTCTAACGAACAACACAAATCCGCCATCTTCGCGAAGAATGCCTGGATCAGGCCTGAACTCCGTAGGATGGATCGCATGAAGTAGGTTAGGTGCGTTCATGCGATCTGTAAAGATATGGTTGAGGTGAGGTCCTCCGTCACGTCCTGCTTGCGGATGGAATTCTAAGTCTTAAGCTCACCACATAGTAATATCCCTATGGTTTTTGACCTTCTCTTAGGCAATCAACTTACCACATCGATGCCAAAACACCCCTGAAAGTAGTACCTCTGGAAAGTTTGTAACTGCTTATTTCGCAGGAAGGCTAACAAGTAGGTCCGTCTCCCCAGAGTTTCTGAGGTCCTGGGATGCACCCTGTCCACCCGCTCGTCCGAAATCTAGTTAAGCTGTTGCTCTCCAGACAACGGTTGCGTGGGACGGCCTTGTTATGGAATGATTTTTCTTGGTCGCCGAGTTCGAGGATGAACGTCTTCACTCCTGCGTGCACTCAGTTGGTTTCCAGGATTGTTGAAAGACTATGGATGAAACCCCGTCGTATGATGGGTCACATACTTCTGTGATGACGTTTTTACGGGTATCAGGTTTCTAGCGCTATCACCAACCTGGTCCAAGGGAGTCCTGCGAACTCCACAGCTCTTGTAAGGCTTCCGGTTTAATTTTACCATCAGTTTCGAGACCGCCCCTCTGGGGCCTCTACCCATCATTTCGTTGCGTTTTTGGTTCGAAGTAGGCTGGTTTTCAGCTTAAATATTCTATAGGATTGCTGGACTTTGGTTTTTCTTCGATTGTCTAGGAGTAGGTGCAGCGAGGGAACTTTGAAGAACTAAGAGCGCGTTACCAATTTTGTTAGGGCAATAGCCTGACCAGAGTCAAAGAGTGGACACTTAGGTGACTGACCATCATATGCGCGATCGCGTTCTCATTGCCGTTTATCCACCTGCCAACAAATGACGAGCATATTTTCCTGTTAAAAGGTTGTGCTGGAAAAAAACAAAAAGTATTTGTGACGTTTGTTTTTTCAAATCTAAGCCTGACTAAATCAGCCCTTGTGACTGTCGGTCCATGTATGACGATGTCCCATGTGATCGCTGGGGCAGACGTCGATATCACCAGCCCTGACCGCACTGCCATATATTCGCTTTCGTCACCCATACCACCCGCCTTTTCTAAAAGTACTCGCAATCGACAGCTTTCCCTATCACGCCGGTTAAGTTTTCAGCTGGAATCTTGCTAAACCAGTTCTTATGATAACCAACGATAGTACAAGATTCCTCAGGCGTTTAAATCGCCAGATCGGACCGCCGCGCCGGGCTTTTTGACTTGGCAAAAGAGCTTTGTCACTGAGTCACAAGAATCTCATTTTTATGCACTATATATATACCCACTCGGACTACGGTATAATACCTTTACCATATGGACTTTATACTACTCGTAGTACTGCTTGTTTGTAGAATGGGCATTACGTGGTGATCCCACAGTAGTTGATTGTCTTCGACTCGAATATTCATTGAAATTTCGGTTCTGGCCCTAAAAAGTCATGTCCTGGAGATTTAACTCTAAGTCCTGCACTGAGTAATTTCTGAGATTATTCACTTGATTATTCTCTGGGGTTCATATAACAGAAACCGCATAGAGAGCGCTGGGGGTCCCACTGAAGAGCCGAACTCCTCGCAGTTGTGTCACGCAGCGGCAGAATATCGGCGGAACACGTGTCTGGGCTTTTAGCAAGTATCTGTGTCGGGAATACGGTATAGTACCTTTACCAATATATATATATATATATATATATATGTTTAGAAGGTGATACCGACAAAGACAAGGGAGACCGGAATGGCCATTTCTGGCTTATTAGCCGTCATCAGCCAGTCATACCCAACCCCAAGTGTGGATCACTTGAGATTCGAACCCGGGATCTTTGGTCATGGAGTTGAACGCTCTACCGTTATATATGTGTGTGTGTGTGCTCTTTTTCATATGTTCTTTTATACATCTTGAGCAGAAACCTCTACTGTTCACGCTTAGCTGATGACAATTTGGGATATTTAAAGATGGTGTCATTTTTAAGGAGCTGAAAAGTGACTATGACAAGGCGGGCAGGAAACAAGTCTTACAGTGACTCTTTTGAGAAATTCTTGTAATCGTCGGGCGGGATCTTTAAGACAGTTTTATTTTCCCTTTTCAGTGCCTCTTGAACCGCCTGTCCGAGGTTCAGGAGGAAAATTGTAGCCTTCGTCGCCAAATCAAACGTCTTTCTGCTGATCTTGAAGCAAAATCTGTAATTATCCAACAGCGACTAGGCGACAGACTCGCCTCATCTACCAATCAAATCTCAGCTTTATCCGCCAGTCACAGGTCGGCCACGACAACAACCGCGGCCGCATCCGTAAAGTCCTCCGATCTGCTCTCTACTGCCTTCGGCAGCGTCAAGTCAAAACTAAAATTACTCGAAGCGGTCTCCCTACCTAATTCTCAGGCCAGCAGTCTTTCCTCCCGTGAGCTTCGCGGACTCAAACAACTGTGCGAAGAACTTATGACCAGAAATATTGTCCTTGAGCAGGCCCTTGAAGAGACACTTCGAAAATCAGGACCCTGACAGCTTTGTCGGCTTCCCACTTCTTGTTCTCACAATCACAGCTAACATTTTTCACCGCAGGCCACCACTTCTAATGGCTGTGATATGCATCTCTCCATTGTTTCTCGCTTCAATTCTATTCATCCATCTTCCCTTCTTTCGTTTTTTTCTGTGTCTAACATTTTTATATTTTTAACTTCTCCATGGCTTGGCACCCTTTTTGACGCCTTCCACTGGTCTCACATTCCACTGGATAGATTAACTCTTTACTTGGTTAAATATGGCTCAAAAGTCACACGAGTTCATTTATTTCCTACCAAATACCACCTGTTTTTAACATTGAAATTTCTTTCTGCTTTTGCCTGTCCCTTCATATAGTTGTTTTTTCGGAACCGAGAGTTTCACCGGGATACAATCGAACTGGCACGTACCTTCAATCTGTTCGAGTCAATAATCCGTTTAGCGTTTGCAGGCCTTGACAAATGCAACGGCAACCTTTCCAATTAGAATCTCCGGATTCATCCTGCGCACGTGTTGACATAATTGAGGTAGTGGTAGGGGGCGCTCACCGATCGTTGATACGGAACTCACTCGTTCCGTTGTGCCTTATGGACTCTCTCGAGCCCATCCAGCAGCCGCACAGCGGCGCATGATATATAGGCAGAATAGCATTACCGACAAAGACAAGGGAGACTGGAATGGCCATTTCTGGCTTATTAGCCGTCGTCAGCCAGCCATACCCAAGCCCGAAGTGTGGAACACCCGAGCCTCGAACTCGCGACCTGTTGGTTTAGAAGTGCACGCCTCTACCCACCGGGCCACGAGCCCGTTGCCCTGTGGGTTTTCGATCGGGAATATACAGTGGTAGGGGGCGCTCACCGATCGTTTTGATAGATTTAGAATGATTACTTTTGACCCAACTGTGAAAAACTTGGCAACCACAGTGGGATTCAAACCCACAACAGCAAGGAGGCTTAAGTACAGCCAATGCTCTAGCTACCTGAGCTGCGAGGCCCCATAGAGAGCCGTGAGGTTACTCACACTTGGGTTAAATTAGCCGCCCAGCCTACTGCAGCCTGTGGAGTCCACCAAATGTGATACAGTAGGCTGACTGCCCAAGCAGGATTTTTTAAGTAGTAATAATAGAATCCATTATATGACTACCAGGCTCACGTAATTAATGGGCGTTTCAGCAGCTTTTGTATTTTGGCCCAGTTGTGAAGAGGTCGGCGACCTCGGGAGGTTTCGAACCCACAATAGCAAGGGGGAAGCTTGAGTACGACCAACGCTCTAGCCACCTGAGTTACGTAACCCCTTCAGGTTTCGTGAGTTTACTCACATCTGGGTCAAGTTAACCGCCTCGCTGTCGTGGATTCGAATTCCACCGGGGTTGCCGAGTTTTTCACAATTGTGTCAACATAAATTAAGTAAAATCTTCACTTTAACCCAACTGCGAAAAACTCGGTGCCTCGGTGGGATTTGAAATCTGCCAAGACTCCGATTTATTACGTGACCATGATAGTTATCTGGTTGATTCTGTAATTACTACTTAAAAAAATCTTGCTTGGGCAGTCAGTTTACTGTATCACATTTGATGGACTCCACACGCTGCAGTAGGCTGGGCGGCTAATTTAACCCAAGTGTGGGTAACCTCACGGCTCTCTGTGGGGCCTCGCATCTCCGGCAGCTAGAGCATTGGCTGTACTCAAGTCTTCTCCTTGCTGTTGTGGGTTTGAATCCCACCGTGGTCGCCGAGTTTTTCCTAGTTGGGTGAAAAAGAAGTAAGTGAGTCAATCTCGAACGGAGGTCCCTCAGAGTGGGTCTTTTACGGGCAGTTCCCGTCGACAAATCCGACTTTCGAGTCCAGTTTCTGAAGACCTTCAAGGCTTCAGCAAGTTCAGTCGTCAAAGCACCCTTCATCTTGGTTGTAACGAGATGCCCTGTGCGCCTAGGTCAGAATGACATTGGGGGCTTCTTTTTATCACAGTTGTTGAAATGCGTTTATTAGGGCTTCCTTTGACTGTCCTGCAACGTGGACACGTTCTCTATATTGCTGACGTAAATCATAGCAGCTCGCGTAGGCATCCGTCCTGGAAGACACAGGGGTTGTTGTTTGCGCATCTGTGAATGTGGAATCAGAGAACGTTGGGGTTGCCATGCTAACCCGCCTAGGTTTTGAACGGACAGGTCTATTGAGGCCTCCCTGTCTGGTCGTATCCCTCTAGCTAGTGGAGCAGCGACAGTCGTGACTTCCCTGACTTAGTTACTTGAAGTTATGGTGCGACTGTCTAACCTGCTGACGTCAGTAAAATGGACTGTCGGCCTGTCTTACAAACATTGGTGGCAATTATCGGTTGTCTGATAATATACTTTGAAATAAGACAAACACTTCTTGAAATGACGATTGGGGATCGACGGAGTATCAGTCCTGATAAACGCGGCAGCAGTGGTTGGTAGTGATTACCTGCTCATTGGCAAGTATGAGGTTTATGCGCGCTGAGGAAGTGTGCATTAATGTGCTATTAACGAAAGATGAATCATCTAGCACTTAGATGCAGTATACAGCTTACAAGAAATTTTTTCCTACGAGATGCCATGAAGAGATTATTGCAGACAGTGCGAGGCGAGTTCAATACCCGTAATACGGAACTGTGGCGGTCAAGGATGTGAGATCGACTTAAAACCACGCACAATAAGTTCGTTTCGTCTACTGTCAGAAGGCAGGGAGCTGTGAGGACTAGTTTATTCTGTACACAGGGCAGGTTGCCGTAAGTTGGCGGTTTGCTTGCAACAGAGAAAAGCGTCCGATCGCAGAGGGCGTCAGTCGCGGTGTGTCTTGTTAACGCGAGTGTGTGTGTCTAAGTTAGCAGGAGGGGGTGACTGTCTGCGTGGTGGTCGTGTGATTGGACTAATTAGGGGACGAATGGAGGGCGCATACTCACAAGGCCTCACGGGAATCAAGCCAAAGCGTTCGACGCGCGTTAGGCGATACTAGTTTTTGAGTGCAGCCGGGGTTCACTGCAGCTGGACCGGAGGTGTCCCAGTTCTAGCCGGCGGGGGTGGTCGTGCGTCAGCGGCCTGTCAGCGCTTATCGCGGTCATCGACCGACAAAACGGAGCCGGAGAAAAGGGGGGCTGGTGCGGCTGCTACAGAACCTCCCAAGTTCATAAGCTACTAATTCAGAAATTATTGCCACTGCGAGCGCATCTATCAATAACCGACAGCATCTTGGTATCGGTGTCACCGTTAAATTTTCTCGCCGACTTGGGCTCACTTAACCTCCGTCATCAGGATACCCATGTGTTTCGTTGGAATCTCCTATTCCCCTTCTGTTTCTGCATGTGCTGGTGAAGGTAGGAAAGGGAAACGGCTTTGCATTCTGGCTTGCAGTGGACTGCAATCCTGATGAAATCAAACTGCAAACGGGTATCATGATCGTTTCACACCGATTACTTTATCAGCCTTGAATGTCTTCAGTCACAGCGATGAAAAGATTTTGGTGCCAAACGCGGACGAGAACTGTGCCGACTATGCTCAGGCGAAAACCAAGATACATGGCAAGAAGCAAATTTGCTTAGGACCGCGAGTACCGCTCCTGCTTATGCCCTCGGGTAGGATCGGCTTAGTGTTACCTATCTACCCACGTTGCGTAGCTTTTGCTTCTATGGATTACGTTTAGGGTTAGAGCTACGATTACGATTAGGGATAAGGATGGAATTACAGTTAGGGTTAGGGTCATTATCATGATTGCGCTTAAGGTTGGATTAGCGTTAGGCAGTTTCAGCCATAGGTGCCTATCCCAGTCAAATCTCTCTCCACCCATTACGGGAGGTTAATGAAGACAGACATTTACATTCGACAACCGACAGAGCGAACCCTGGAGGCACGAACTTATTGTGGACATTATTTGAGTCAGCAGTGAATTCAACAAAAATAATCAATTGCACGACATGCGAATTTACGAACAAGCCCCATGCTAATGCTGTTTTCTTTGCGCAGTCGTATTCAATGCTATTTTTCATTTTCCTTATTATTGAACGACACAATAGCTTGGGGTGTATGGCAGCTAGTTATGGGTTAGCTGTTTAGTTGTGGCGGAACTCACCATTCAACTGTTGACTTCTTTGCTTAGCCTTTAACCGACACCCAACTCTCATGTGTGGCTCCCCAAATTAAGGCTCTGCCTAACGGCCACACCCTGGTAACCGCCTCGGGTGGCGGACTGAACCAGATGAGAGTGTACGGTGTTGCGTTATCACGCTCGGTAAACGTGTCTTACCCAGAATTATGGCACAAAGAGTCGGGTCCAGAAAGGAAAGTGTACTCTTAAAGGATTCGACAATTTCGGAAAGAACCACCGAAGCAGGGAGCCCGTTTCCCGTCCCAATGAGCCCGTGAGGGAAGGCGTTCCGTCGGACGTCCATGTAGTTCAGCTTCATTCTGCAGTTTAAAGGGATGGCCAGGCAGAAGTTCAGTCCTGGCCAATTCGAAGAATTCATCAAAGTCTAGGGCGCACTCATGACCTCTGATAATCTTGTAGGTTTGAATGAGATCGTCACGTAGTTGCCTGTAATTGAGAGGAAACACATTTAATTCAGCCAGCCTGGTTTCGTAAGGTAGATGATGAAGATTCCTGATCATCTTCCTAGCTATCGCCTGTACTCTTTCCAGTCGTTGGTGATCTTTCTTCAACCACGGTCGCTAGACCTGGACTGCATATTCTAGGTGACACCGGACGAATGCCCTATAGGATTTCTCGAACAAATCTTTATCGATCTGCGCAAAACTCGCCTAAGAGCAAATAACACGCTAATTACCTGTTTTGCTGCCTTTTGACTCCCTGACGATGGTTTTATCGAGGAGGTCATAAGAACGCCAATATCCTTCTGTTCCACAACATTTGAAGGGGACTGCCCAGCATGGACGTATTGAAAGGAAGCGTCCTCCTTATTGGTCGTCCTGGTGCGGAGTCTCAGGACCACGCATATGTCCACATTAAAATTATAGAGCCGACGAGTTGA